TATTTCAGATCCACAGCATCAGGAGTTATACATAATGTATGACCAAACCGTATTTCAGATCTAAAGCATCAGGAGTTATACATAATGTATGACCAAACCGTATTTCAGATCCAAAGCATCAGGAGTTATACATAATGTATTACCAAACCGTATTTCAGATCCACAGCATCAGGAGTTATACATAATGTATGACCAAACCGTATTTCAGATCCACAGCATGAGGAGTTACATAATCTATGACCAAACTGTATTTCAGATCCAAAGCATGAGGAGTTACATAATGTATGACCAAACCGTATTTCAGATCCACAGCATCAGGAGGTATACATAATGTATGACCAAACCGTATTTCAGATGCACAGCATAAGGAGTTACATAATGTATGACCAAACCGTATTTCAGATCCACAGCATAAGGAGTTACATAATGTATGACCAAACCGTATTTCAGATGCAGAGCATAAGGAGTTACATAATGTATGACCAAACAGTATTTCAGATCCACAGCATGAGGAGTTTCATAATCTATGACCAAACCATATTTCAGATCCATAGCATCAGGAGTTGTACATAATGTATGACCAAACTGTATTTCAGATCCACAGCATCAGGAGTTATACATGTATGACCAAACCGTATTTCAGATCTAAAGCATCAGGAGTTATACATAATGTATTACCAAACCGTATTTCAGATCCACAGCATGAGGAGTTACATAATCTATGACCAAACCATATTTCAGATCCATAGCATCAGGAGTTATACATAATGTATGACCAAACTGTATTTCAGATGCACAGCATCAGGAGTTACATAATGTATGACCAAACCGTATTTCAGATCCACAGTATCAGGAGTTATACATAATGTATGATCAAACCGTATTTCAGATCCTCAGCATCAGGAGTTATACATAATGTATGAACAAACCGTATTTCAGATCCACAGCATCAGGAGTTACATAATGTATGACCAAACCGTATTTCAGATCCACAGCATCAGGAGTTATACATAATGTATGACCAAACTGTATTTCAGATGCACAGCATCAGGAGTTACATAATGTATGACCAAACCGTATTTCAAATCCAAAGCATTAGGAGTTGTACATAATGTATGACCAAACCGTATTTTAGATCCACAGCATGTGGAGTTACATAATGTATGACCAAACCGTATTTCAGATCCACAGCATAAGGAGTTATATATAATGTATGACCAAACCGTATATTAGATGCACAGTATCAGGAGTTGTACATAATGTATGATCAAACCGTATTTCAGATGCACAGCATGAGGAGTTACACAATGTATGACCAAACCGTATTTCAGATCCACAGCATGAGGAGTTAAATAATGTATGACCAAACCGTATTTCAGATCCACAGCATCAGGAGTTATACATAATGTATGTCCAAACCGTATTTCAGATGCACAGCATCAGGATTAATACATAACGTATGACCAAACCGTATTTCAGATGCACAGCATGAGGAGTTACACAATGTATGACAAAACCGTATTTCAGATGCACAGCATGAGGAGTTACATAATGTATGACCAAACCGTATATTAGATGCACAGCATAAGGAGTTATACATGATGTATGACCAAACCGTATTTCAGATCCAAAGCATCAGGAGTTACATAATGTATGACCAAACCGTATTTCAGATACAAAGCATGAGGAGTTACATAATGTATGACCAAACCGTATTTCAGATCCAAAGCATCAGGAGTAACATAATGTATGACCAAACCGTATTTCAGATCCACAGTATCAGGAGTTATACATAATGTATGACCAAACCGTATTTCAGATACAAAGCATGAGGAGTTACATAATGTATGACCAAACCTTATTTCAGATCCACAGCATCAGGAGTTATAAATAATGTATGACCAAACTGTATTTCAGATCCACACCATCAGGAGTTATACATAATGTATGACCAAATCATATTTCAGATCCACAGCATCAGGAGTTATAAATAATGTATGACCAAACTGTATTTCAGATCCACAGCATCAGGAGTTATACATAATGTATGACCAAACCGTATGTCAGATCCACAGCATCAGGAGTTATACATAATGTATGACCAAACCTTATATTAGATGCACAGTATCAGGAGTTATACATAATGTATGACCAAACCGTATTTCAGATCTAAAGCATCAGGGGTTATACATAATGTATGACCAAACCGTATTTCAGATCCACAGCATCAGGAGTTATACATAATGTATGACCAAACTGTATTTCAGATGCATAGCATGAGGAGTAACATAATGTATGACCAAACTGTATTTCAGATCCAAAGCATCAGGAGTTATACATAATGTATGACCAAACCGTATTTCAGATGCACAGCATGAGGAGTTACATAATGTATGACCGAACCGTATTTCAGATCCACAGCATCAGGAGTTACATAATGTATGACCAAACCGTATTTCAGATCCAAAGCATTAGGAGTTACATAATGTATGACCAAACCGTATTTCAGATCCACAGCATGAGGAGTTACATAATGTATGACCAATCCGTATTTCAGATGCACAGCATGATATGAGGAGATACATAATGTACGACCAAACCTTATTTCAGATCCGCAGCATCAGGAGTTATACATAATGTATGATCAAACCGTATTTCAGATGCACAGCATGATATGAGGAGTTACATAATGTACGACCAAACCTTATTTCAGATCCACAGCATCAGGAGTTATACATAATGTATGACCAAACCGTATTTCAGATGCACAGCATGATATGAGGAGTTACATAATGTACGACCAAACCTTATCTCAGATCCACAGCATCAGGAGTTATACATAATGTATGACCAAACCATATTTCAGATGCACAGCATGAGGAGTTACATAATGTATGACCAATCCGTATTTCAGATGCACAGCATGATATGAGGAGTTACATAATGTACGACCAAACCTTATTTCAGATCCACAGCATCAGGAGTTATACATAATGTATGATCAAACCGTATTTCAGATCCACAGCATCAGGAGTTATACATAATGTACATGTATGTCCAAACGTATTTCAGATGCACAGCATCAGGAGTAATACATAACGTATGACCAAACCGTATTTCAGATCCACAGCATGAGGAGTTACATAATGTATGACCAAACCGTATTTCAGATCCACAGCATCAGGAGTTATACATAATGTATGACCAAACCGTATTTCAGATCCACAGCATGAGGAGTTACATAATGTATGACCAAACCGTATTTCAGATCCACAGCATCAGGAGTTATACATAATGTATGACCAAACCGTATTTCAGATCCACAGCATGAGGAGTTACATAATGTATGACCAAACCGTATTTCAGATCCACAGCATCAGGAGTTATACATAATGTATGACCAAACCGTATTTCAGATCCACAGCATGAGGAGTTACATAATGTATGACCAAACCGTATTTCAGATCCACAGCATCAGGAGTTATACATAATGTATGACCAAACCGTATTTCAGATCCACAGCATGAGGAGTTACATAATGTATGACCAAACCGTATTTCAGATCCACAGCATCAGGAGTTATACATAATGTATGACCAAACCGTATTTCAGATCCACAGCATGAGGAGTTACATAATGTATGACCAAACCGTATTTCAGATCCACAGCATCAGGAGTTATACATAATGTATGACCAAACCGTATTTCAGATCCACAGCATGAGGAGTTACATAATGTATGACCAAACCGTATTTCAGATCCACAGCATCAGGAGTTATACATAATGTATGACCAAACCGTATTTCAGATCCACAGCATGAGGAGTTACATAATGTATGACCAAACCGTATTTCAGATCCACAGCATCAGGAGTTATACATAATGTATGACCAAACCGTATTTCAGATCCACAGCATGAGGAGTTACATAATGTATGACCAAACCGTATTTCAGATCCACAGCATGAGGAGATACATAATGTATGACCAAACCGTATTTCAGATCCACAGCATCAGGAGTTATACATAATGTATGACCAAACCGTATTTCAGATCCACAGCATGAGGAGTTACATAATGTATGACCAAACCGTATTTCAGATCCACAGCATCAGGAGTTATACATAATGTATGACCAAACCGTATTTCAGATCCACAGCATGAGGAGTTACATAATGTATGACCAAACCGTATTTCAGATCCACAGCATGAGGAGATACATAATGTATGACCAAACCGTATTTCAGATCCACAGCATCAGGAGTTATACATAATGTATGACCAAACCGTATTTCAGATCCACAGCATGTGGAGTTACATAATGTATGACCAAACCGTATTTCAGATCCACAGCATCAGGAGTTACATAATGTATGACCAAACCGTATTTCAGATCCACAGCATCAGGAGTTACATAATGTATGATCAAACCGTATTTCAGATCCACATCATCAGGAGTTATACATAATGTATGATCAAACCATATTTCAGATCCACAGCATCAGGAGTTATACATCATGTATGACCAGACTATTTCAGATCCACAGCATCAGGAGTTACATAATGTATGACCAAACCGTATTTCAGATGCACAGCATGAGGAGTTACATAATGTATGACCAAACCATATTTCAGATCCACAGCATGAGGAGTTACATAATGTATATAGATTCCTCGTTAAAAAAAAAAAATGACCGGTATATTTAATTTTTGAATTATTTTTTGAAGATTTTGAAGATTTCTTATGTTGTATGACTAAATACTATTGCAGATCCACAGCATCAGGAGTTATTTAATGTATGACCAAATCCTATTTCAGATCCACAGCATCAGGAGTTATACATAATGTATATAGATTCCTCGTTAAAAAAAATGACCGGTATATTTAATTTTTGAATTATTTTTTGAAGATTTTGAAGATTTCTTATGTTGTATGACTAAATACTATTGCAGATCCACAGCATCAGGAGTTATTTAATGTATGACCAAATCCTATTTCAGATCCACAGTATGAAAAGTTACGTCATAGCAGCTGCACCAAGGAATGGATCACGAAGGACTCCCAGTATTACCTTCGTATCAGGACTCTATGTGATACAGATGACAAATTCACAAAAGGAATCAAAGCTGCATTGGAAATCACTTCGGAAGAGAGAATCACATCTATGGGATTTGTTGTGGTGCCCTTGCAGGACCCATTTTCAAAAAGTAATTGTCGTTTATGTGGGCCAAAACAGCAAATTATGGCCTGGCAAAGCATCATATCTCACCATTGTCCATCAAATTTTCATTTAAAAGACTATATCTTTAGAATACCTTGAGGTATTTGACTGAATTTGATATGCAACATCCATTAATCAAGAAATTTCAAATTTGCATAAGTAAAGGGTATGTCACGTACTGAGTGCAAAGGGTCCAGACCATTAGGGGAAATACAGTTAAACCATTAAAAATTCTACATCATGGATATTAGAGGATATTGCTTTTGACTAAGATTAAGGTATGATACATTAGGGGTATTACATGTTGTATAAATGCATTTTAGAGAGTAAATCTTATAAAGACAACTTCTTCAACAAAGATTGACAAATTTTGAATGTATTTCTGTAAATGAAGCTATCTTTAATACCTGCTAAAGGGTATGATGTCTCAAATTGTCAGAAATATTTAAAAATTATTTTCTAGTTCGGATAACAATTAGAAACATTTAAGCGACAAAGGCTCTATTTACCATTTGTTATATTTTCATTGCATGTAAAAAGCATATTTTTACATTTTGAATTTTGGAATGGTGAGTTTTTACATAAATTGTTCGCTTTTTTTCCAATTTTCACACATACAATCAAATTGTTATGTTTACTACTTTAACTGCAGAAGAACTGACATGCAAGGACCAAGCAAAGATGATCAAGAGAGCAGTTTTGGAAGTTAAAGAGTATAACAAGTACTTGCAGGAAATCAAAATACTTGTTAAGTCAACAGAGGACTTCAATTGTTTTCTAGCGTGCAAGGAGTCAAAAATAGAATCACAGGAACATGGCCATTTTGCATTCTTAAAGAAACTTTCTCTTTTTAGTGCAGGTAAGATTATTTATAAAACAGTTTGGTAATATTTTACTTACCTGGTCCAAAGTATCATTGATCTTATGCCAAGGCACAGTGTTTGCCTGCTGTTGGGGGGGGTAAGGCTAAGTGGCTAAGACCCAATAAAGGACTCATTTTATGAGGCGAATTAATCTTCAAAAGTCTACTACTCTGGAACAACTGCACTTATTGTTAGGTCAACAACATCACAAGGTGTCCATGTTCTGTATGATTGAAGTTTATGAATACCTAAAGGGCCAGATTCAAGGTCTACAATTTGAATTTAGGGCATTTCTAAATCAGAATTATAATCCTCCGTAATGCTCAGACTATACATATATACCAGTAACTAGTTTAAGATGGTCATATTTTATGTAAATTAAGTAAGCGCAACTCCTCGGCCAAGGAGATTCAATGTTTTATAACTGAAAAGTGTGCTATTCTGAAGGTTCAAATGCTTCAAATGACTAATCCTTATAGGATTTAAACCTAATTTTGCATAAAGCATCCAGGGACCAAGTGGATTAATGCTTTATCAGATGTATGGCTTCTTATGTGAGATATGATACAGATAAATATTTAAAAGACTACTTGTTCAGTATGAATGAAATGTTTTTGCCTATATGTAGGCTTATGGTATGATGCAACTTTCATTCTCCATCCATTTGTCCGTCGACATTTTTCATTCTACAATTTCATTTTGAAAAATAAAAGCCTCAGGGGCCTGATATTTGGTCAGTAAGTACCTGGGAAGAATTGCTATTATGATTCCTCATATAAATGATCTTTTCATTCTTTGAAGGTCACAGGGGTCAAATAAATAAGTTGAACATTTTGTAAAGAGTCCTACAGTCTAGAGTCATGAAACTTGGATGTAATATATGTAGACCAGTTGTTGTTTTTTTTGAGTGCTTGGGTCATGAATTGGAAAAATTACAGGCCATCCCTCGCTTTTATGTGTAAAAGATCCTTTTTTGTTCTTTAAATCATGAGAGCAATATCTAAGGAATAAGAAAAGTCTACAAAACATGTGTCTGGCCAAATTACTTTTCAAACTGGGCTATCTAGAAAATATGGTGATCCTCAGGCTCCAGCATTTTAACAGAAATGATCTTAAGCTGAGACGAATGTACTTTAAATTTCTGTTAATAAAATATGTTACTTCATCAATTTTTTGTTTCAAAAGCCGTTTTGGTACAGAGTGGACAGACACTATTAAAAATGAAACAGTTAAAAGGTGTTTTGCTAAAAATGTTTTTTATGTAATTAATGAACATTGAAGCTTTTATAGACAATACAAATATTTTATTTCGTCATATATTATGACTTCTCCTCAATTATATTGTATGCAACATCTATTTTTATTCTTTCAATATTAAAAATGATTTTTAAGGAGTAAAAAGTATAAAATAAAAAATGAAAAACATGTCTGTCTGTATTAAGTTTCTAGCAAGGAAATCTAAAACAAATTGACCCTTGGCAAAATGACCTTGAGCAGGAACAAATTTCTGTTAAAAAAATATACATTTTGTTCATAAATGTCGCAAAGATCACATTATTAAGAGAAATGCACTGTATGTTTAATAATATTTTCACCTTCAATATTTTCTTTTCAGATACAAGCAAATGCCCATGGAAGATTGTAAGATACATGAAGAAGTCTGATTCTGGGTTTAAAGTCACAGTGGTTGCAGACAAGAGAGACATCGAAAATGTCCTGGAAAAATTCTGCTCAGAAACTAATAACCAGGATGACACTAGGAGCCTTCGTGGCAACCAAACTTTCACTGGAGACGGTAAAGTACAGGGTGCCACTGGTGGTCATCATGATAACCAAACTTACACTGGAGACGGTCGAGTACAGGGTGCCACTGGTGGCCATCATGGTAACCAAACCTATACTGGAGACGGTCAAGTACAGGGTGCCACTGGTGGCCATCATGGTAACCAAACCTATACTGGAGACGGTCGAGTACAGGGTGCCACTGGTGGCCATCATGGTAACCAAACCTATACTGGAGACGGTCGAGTACAGGGTGCCACTGGTGGCCATCATGGTAACCAAACCTATACTGGAGACGGTCGAGTACAGGGTGCCACTGGTGGCCATCATGGTAACCAAACCTATACTGGAGACGGTCGAGTACAGGGTGCCACTGGTGGCCATCATGGTAACCAAACCTATACTGGAGACGGTCGAGTACAGGGTGCCACTAGTGGCCATCATGGTAACCAAACCTATACTGGAGACGGTCGAGTACAGGGTGCCACTAGTGGCCATTATGGTAACCATGAAAACAATGGACAAAAGGGAGACATGGACAAAACAGGAGTTAATACCCAGGCTAGACACAGTCCAGTTCAGCAGCCTATGCAGAAAGAGGGCAAACAAGTGTTTTCTGTTCAGGATAATGATGTAAGTGATTATATTTGAATTCTGTGGTTTAATGAGTGGGGGCAATGCTATTAATAGAAACTGAACAACAAGTAAAACTATTTGAAAAGCAATGATTCAGATCTGACAAATAATTTTAGAAAACTCCTTCAGTACAGGATAAGGGTTTTTTACTTCATTATAGATATATTTGTGTATATCAGATTCTTTGGCCAAGAACATGTCAATGTCTTTGCTTTCCTTATTTTTCCTTTAAAAAGATTTTTTTTTTTAAACGGTCTTTCAGTATTGAAAAGGGATTTTAATGTGATTAAATATATCAGAATCTTTTGCAAAGCCTCTATCCGATGTAGAAGTCATTTCTTTCCCCGTCTTAAAGTTTCCCTGAGGAAAAAATCGGCTAGGGGAAGAAATAGTCTAGCTGAGTTATATATAAGTTCTTAATTTCCCCCTCTGTATATGTTATTTGGGGGGAAACTATTGGCTAGCTGATTCTTTCCCCCTCTCTATGTTAGCAACTAGGGGGAAACTATTGGCTAGCTGATTCTTTCCCCTTCTCTGTGTAAGCAACTAGGGGGAAACTATTAGCTAGCTGATTATTTCCCCCTCTCTGTGTTGGCAACTAGGGGGAAACTATTGGCTAGCTGATTCTTCCCCCTCTCTGTGTAAGCAACTTTGGGGAAACTATTGGTTAGCTGATTATTTCCCCCTCTCTGTGTAAGCAACTAGGGAGAAGCTATTGGCTAGCTGATTCTTTCCCCCTCTCTGTGTAAGCAACTAGGGGGAAACTATTGGTAAGCTGATTCTTTCCCCCTCTCTGTGTAAGCAACTAAGGGGAAACTATTGATAAGCTGATTCTTTCCCCCTCTCTGTGTAAGCAACTAGGGGGAAACTATTGGCTAGCTGATTATTTCCCCCTCTCTGTTAACAACTATGGAGAAGCTATAGGCTAGCTGATTCTTTCCCCCTCTCTGTGTTAGCAACTAGGGGGAAACTATTGGCTAGCTGATTCTTCCCCCCTCTCTGTGTAAGCAACTAGGGGGAACTATTGGCTAGCTGATTCTTTCCCCATCTCTGTGTTAGCAACTAGGGGGAAACTATTGGCTAGCTGATTCTTTCAACCTCTCTGTGTAAGCAACTAGGGGGGGACAACTATAGGCTAGCTGATTCTTTCCCCATCTCTATTAGTAACTAAAGGGGAAACTATTGGCTAGCTGATTCTTCCCCCCTCTCTGTGGTAGCAACTAGGGGGAAACTCTTGGTTAGTTGATTCTTTTCCCCATCTCTGTGTTAGCAACTAGGGGGAAACTATTGGCTAGCTGATTCTTTCCCCCTCTCTATTAGTAACTAAGGGGGAAACTATTGGCTAGCTGATTCTTCCCCCCTCTCTGTGGTAGCAACTAGGGGGAACTTATTGGTTAGCTGATTCTTTTCCCCTCTCTGTGTTAGCAACTAGGGGGAAACTATTGGCTAGCTGATTCTTTCCCCCTCTCTATTAGTAACTAAGGGGGAAACTATTGGTTAGCTGATTCTTTTCCCCTCTCTGTGTTAGCAACTAGGGAGAAACTATTGGCTAGCTGATTCTTTCCCCCTCTCTATTAGTTACTAAGGGGGAAACTATTGGTTAGCTGATTCGTTCCCCCTCTATATGTAAGCAACTAGGGGGAAACTATTGGCTAGCTGATTCTTTTCCCTCTCTTTGTAAGCAACTAGGGGGAAACTATTGGTTAGCTGATTCTTTCCCCTTTTTAGGTCACCTGAGACAAAGTCTCAAGTGACCTATTGCGATCGCCTTTTGTCCATCGTCGTCTGTCATTCGTCCGTAAACAATTTACCTTTTCGACTTCTTCTCCAAAACTCCTAAACCAATTTCAATGAAATTTTGCAGGGACCTTCCATGGACAAAGGTCAAAAAAAATAGTGGCTGGTTTAGTCCCAAGCCCCCAGGGGTCTGAGGGGCATGCCAAAAAGGGTCAAATTGATAAAAATTACAAAAATCTTCTTCTCAAGACTCAAATATGGTAGAATCAAATACTCTTAATATATGGAACGGTCTTAGGTGCTTTACCAAAATTGTGAATTTCTTGACCCTGGGGTCTCATGTTTCCCCCTGGGGAGGGGGTAAACTTTACTATAGTTTATATAGGGAAATCACATCTTGGACCAACATTTGTTTAATATCCATTGGAAGTAATTCAATTTGTGTTAGCATTATCAGTATTAGGTAGCAGTTTGATAGTATGCACATATGAGCCCTGACTGACCCCCAGGGGCTGATGGGTGGGGCAAAAAAGGGTTGAATTGACTGAAATTTAAAAAAAAATCTTCTCAAGACCGAGATATGGTAGAATTAAATACTCTTTATAGATGGAAGGGTCTTAACTCATTCACCCCTGAAATTTCCTAATGAACTATTCCAACCTTTGAATTGGAGGAGTTCAAATGTGTCTTCAGGGGTGAATGAGTTAAGGTGCTTTACCAAAATTGTGAATTTCTTGACCCTGGGGTCTCATGTTTCCCCCTGGGGAGGGGGTAAACTTTACTATAGTTTATATAGGGAAATCACATTTTGGACCAACATTTGTTTAATTTCCATTGGAAGTAATTCAATTTGGGTTAGCATTATCAATATTAGGTAGCAGTTTGATAATAAGCACATATGAGCCCTGACTGACCCCCGGGGGCTGATGGGTGGGGCCAAAAAGGGTTGAATTGACTGAAATTTAAAATAAAATCTTCTCGAGACCCAGATATGGTAGAATCAAATACTCTTCATAGATGGAAGGGTCTTAAGGTTTATGACCCTAGGGTCTCACGTTTATATTTTTTAATTACCCCCTAGGGAAGGAGGAGGAGGGGGGGGGGGCAAAATTTATTATGGTTTATAATGGCAAATGATACTTTGAATATTACATGTTAATAACTTGATTGGAATTATAACCTTGAGTTGACAGTTTGATACTTTGAAAAATTTGAGTCAGCCCTACCCCCAAAGGCTGTAGGGTGGGGCTCAAAGGAGTCAGTGTGCTAAAATTTCTTCATTTTTCCTTGTTTAGAATCAGAGGCGCTAGTTTCAAATACTTTTTAGTCTGAAATCTGTATGCTTGATACTGTATAAGGTGGTTTTATTGGTTTTTGTCACTTTGAATAATATTTCTGTTCATGTTAAAAACAAAATCAACTCTCTGTATAAATAGCTGATTATTTCCCCCTCTCTATGTAAGCAACTAGGGGGAAACTATTGGCTAGCTGATTCTTTCCCTCTCTCTGTGTAAGTAACTAGGGGGAAACTATTGGCTAGCTGATTCTTTCCCCCCTCTGTATATGTTATTTTAGGGGAAACTATTGGCTAGCTGATTCTTTCCCCCTCTCTATGTAGGCAACTAGGGGAAAACTATTGGCTAGCTGATTCTTTCCCTCTCTCTGTGTAAGTAACTAGGGGGAAACTAATGGCTAGCTGATTCTTTCCCCCCTCTGTATATGTTATTTGAGGTGAAACTATTGGCTAGCTGATTCTTTCCCCCCTCTCTATGTAAGCAACTAGGGGGAAACTATTAGTTAGCTGATTCTTTCCCCCCTCTGTATATGTTATTTGAGGGGAAACTATTGGCTAGCTGATTCTTTCCCCCTCTCTATGTAAGCAACTAGGGGAAAACTATTGGCTAGCTGATTCTTTCCCCCTCTCTGTGTTAACAAATATGGAGAAGCTATTGGCTAGCTGATTCTTTGTCCTCTCTGTGTTAGCAACTAGGGGGAAACTATTTGCTAGCTGATTCTTTCCCCCCTCTGTATATGTTATTTGAGGGGAAACTAGTGGCTAGCTGATTCTTTCCCCCCTCTCTATCTAAGCAACTAGGGGGAAACTATTAGTTAGCTGATTCTTACCCCCCTCTGTATATGTTATTTGAGGGGAAACTAGTGGCTAGCTGATTCTTTCCCCCCTCTCTATGTCAGCAACTAGGGGGAAACTATTAGTTAGCTGATTCTTACCCCCCTCTGTATATGTTATTTGAGGGGAAACTAGTGGCTAGCTGATTCTTTCCCCCCTCTCTATGTAAGCAACTAGGGGAAAACTATTGGCTAGCTGATTCTTTCCCCCCTCTCTATGTCAGCAACTAGGGGGAAACTATTAGTTAGCTGATTCTTACCCCCCTCTGTATATGTTATTTGAGGGGAAACTATTGGCTATCTTTTCCCCTCTCTGTGTTAGCAACTAGGGAGAAACTATTGGCTAGCTGATTCTTTCCCCCCTCTCTATGTAAGCAACTAGGGGAAAACTATTGGTTAGCTGATTCTTTCCCCCTCTCTATGTAAGCAACTAGGGTAAAACTATTGGCTAGCTGATTCTTTCCCCCCTCTCTATGTAAGCAACTAGGGGAAAACTATTGGCTAGCTGATTCTTTCCCCCTCTCTATGTAAGCAACTAGGGTAAAACTATTGGCTAGCTGATTCTTTCCCCCCTCTGTATATGTTATTTGAGGGGAACTTATTGGTTAGCTGATTCTTTTCCCCTCTCTGTGTTAGCAACTAGGGAGAAACTATTGGCTAGCTGATTCTTTCCCCCTCTCTTTGTAAGCAACTTGGGGGAAACTATTGGCTAGCTGATTCTTTCCCCCTCTCTGTGTTAACAACTATGGAGAAGCTATTGGCTAGCTATTTCTTTCCCCTCTCAATTAGTAACTAAGGGAGAAACTTGGCTAGCTGATTCTTTCCCTTTCTCTATGTAAGCAACTAGGGGGAAACTATTGGTTAGCTGATTCTTTCCCCCTCTCTATGTAAGCAACTAGGGGAAAACTATTGGCTAGCTGATTCTTTCCCCCTTTCTGTGTTAGCAACTAGGGGGAAACTATTGGCTAGCTGATTCTTTCCTCCTCTCTGTGTTAGCAACTAGGGGGAAAATATTAGCTAGCTGATTCTTTCCCCCTCTCTGTGCTAGCAACTAGGGGGAAACTATTGGCTAGCTGATTATTTTCCCCCTCTCTATATTAGTAACCAGGGGGGAAACTATTGGCTAGCTGATTCACTCCCCCTCTCTGTGTTAGCAAAAAAGGGGAAACTATTGGCTAGCTGATTCTTTCCCCCTATCTGTATTAGTAACAAGGGGGGATTTATTGGCTGGCTGATACCGGGATTATATTTCTATAAATGAAGGATGTGACACTTTTTTCAGAGCAGGGATGGGACCAAAATTGGGAATATGATAAATATTCAAAAGATTACTCCCGTATTATCCATCGTCAAATGAAATTGGCGGGAAGATGTACAAACGGGTTCCGTCCATCTGTTTGTCTGCTCGTCTGTGCATCTAGGGTTTCTGGGCTATAACTCGAAAACCTTTCAAGATAACTTCATGAAACTTTGTATGTACATGATATTCCAGTTGTCTAATTGTGTCTTTTGGTGTTGCAATGTTCTTTTTTTTTTTTTTTTTTTTTTTTTTCCTGTTGCCATGGAAACAAATAGCATGAAATGCCAAATTTGTAGTTTTTCGGAGCATATGTCAGAAACTGTTAGAGATGACTTAACAAAAAATTCTAATTACACAAATATAGTGCCCTTTGCTGTTAGGGTAATTTAAATTTTGACATATTCTGTACCATAGAAACAACTTGTCAGGGTTGCAAATTTGTTGTTTCCAGAGCATATCTCTTAATATAACTGGTACTTTAAACTTAAATGAACTTATATCTGTGAAACTTTACAACTTAACAAAAGTTTACAATAACATTATCAATGCCTTTGACTATGGTGGTGTGTTTATTTTTGATATTTTTCCTGTTACCATAGATACAGACTACGAGCCAGAAAACCATTCAAGATAACTTTGTAAAACTTTCTATTTGCATCAATCTAGTTGTTTAATAGTCCTTTCTACTAGGATGTTTAATTTATTTGGTATTTTTCTGTTACCATGGCATGGAAACAAATTAATGGCTAAAAATGAAAGTTATATTTTGTGGACCATATCTCAAAGATAACTTTATTAAACTTTATATGCATACAAATCTCGTAGTTTAGTTATGCCTTTAGCTAATTTAATGAGTTTTCATTTTCAATATCTTCCTATCACCACAGAAACAAATACATAAATTTGTCGTTTCTTAAGCATATCGTCCAGCACATTTCAAGATAACTTCAACAAGCTGCTAGACTTGACACAATGATATGTTTCCCCTATTATTTCAACCAAGGTTTCACAATACAGGGTCACTCATAGATTGACTTTTTAATCAAATTAGTTAGCTTTGATTTAACCTTTATTAAAAGGCACAGGAGTCCAATATTTTAAAATCTTTAAAAGACTTTTTTTCCGGAAGGCTTACTAGCGTCATGATATTTGACCATTCCAATAGTTAGATATAATATATAAATGTAGGGTGCATAACAAGGACAATATGCAATAAATGATCGATTATTATTACTACACGTGTTTGTAAAATATTGTTCCCTGGCTGACTGACGTATTAAACCCAGCCAGCAATGCAAGGAGATAATATCATCTGCTTTCCCAAAAAATAAAACTGACCACACTAGACGTTGGCTCAGGTTATGTTATTATCAACTACGTAAACTTTCGGTAGGAGATCTATATTCTCAATATTTAATCTATCTTAAGGGTATTAATTATTTGACTAAATAGCCCCTTTAAATAGCAGGTACCTCCAGGATAGAGTTTCCTCACATGAGTGACCTTGACCTACTTTCAAAGCCACATGAGTCCTTTTTGGTCATAAGTTAAAATGGTTGAGGTCCCCATCTTGTAACCATCTTTATTACTTGTACTTTGCATGAAGAAACAAATACAGACATGCTACCAGATTTAGCCTTGGGAAAGGTGTCTCCCCTAAGTACTCATTCCCAGGACATGGACAAGTTTAAGATTCCCACCCTATAACCTTATACACATACATGTATTTATGAATATCAAAATAATTTTACTGTGAAACATCCTACGTTCTTGGGACCTAAACATCCAATGTTATTCAAAACAAAATTAAAGCTTCTTACAAATGTCTAGTTTCAGTATTCATTTCAAGTATATTTTTTTTTAAATGCTGAAAATGGAAAATAAAAACATGATAACAGCTAATTGCTTCAGTTCAAGGGTTTTCCCATCATGGAAATGGCTGCATAATTTAAATAATAAAAGTGCTACTTTTCCATTATAGAAACGGTTGATATAAGTATTTTAGCCTAAAATAGTATTGTTTTTTTTCTTTCACAAATGACATGTCTTTGTCCTATTAAACAAAAAATGAAGTTAGTATTAATCTGTTTATTTCAGGTTTTTGAAACCATAGAAGCTGTTGTGAATGAGGGAATATTAAAGGCCTCTCAATGGGAGACAGTAGTGGAAAAACATGGTGATGTGAATAAGGATGGACAAATAGTTTGCAAGGATCTTTCTAGTCTGCAGAAATTTGATGATGAACTTCAATCAAATCTTCAAAATAGCATCAGAGTTGATGACACCAGTGATCATTTCAGCTCTCCACCGGATGACTTTGAACATGTATCAGATATCAATATGGTAATGCCAGAAGAAAACTTTCTGGCTCTTCAGTTTTTCTGCTGTAGAGATGGATCAATGGATCAACAAGCTGTACATTACAGAGATGGCATGCTTCAGGTATCTTGCAATGAAAAGAGTGATAAGAAGGCCATACAACTTTGCATTGAAAGCAAGTTGAAGCACATAGAGATAATGAACAAAGATGATGTCTCCTTCAGTCCAGCTGAGGAACCAAAAGTCAAAGGAACTATTAAACAGATTCACAAGTCTGTTGATGGAGTTTTCTGCTATCAACTTGAAAAAGATGAACATAGCATGGTCCATTTAATGGCTCAATCCTACAGTCAGCTACAGACAGCAAAGCACAAGATCTCATTGGGATTAGGCAGGATAAAGCAGACAGAAACACGGAGAAATAGGCGGTTTGACAACACACCACTTCAGCAAAACAAAGGGGACGGCACTTCAACAGATAGACACAGATTTAGTCAGTCATTCACTGCGAGCCAGTCATCATGGAAAACTCAATCTACGGCTGGTTATGGTAGTGTTAGTCCTAAAGACTTTACTACACAAGAAGGACTGTTAGTACGAGTTTATCCTGCCAGTATCCTTCATCTTGATGTGGACTGTATTGTGAACGCTGCCAATGGCGATTTACAACATGGAGGGGGAGTGGCCTGTGTGATATCTAATGCAGCTGGTTACGACTTTGAGCGGGAGAGTAGGGACTACATAGCCAGGTATGGACCCCTGAGTGTTGGAGAGGTGTGTACTACCACTGCTGGTAACCTGAAGTACAAGGGTGTTATCCACAGTGTAGGCCCAAGGTGGTACGACTATGGTCAAGACCAGAAGCGAACATGTCTGGACCATTTAACGACTGCTGTCAAGAACAGTTTGGAGGAGGCAGACATCCAAAACTACAAGTCTATAGCTATACCTGCTATTAGCTCAGGTACCTCAACAAAAATGTACAGATGAAAAAGAGTATGAATGAAATCACAATGTAGTGTCAGTTTTAGAAATTAGATATTTAATTGAAGTATGATTTAAATAAAGATATTAATTAGGGCCCTGTATTGGAATCGGCGATACCGGTGCCCTTTAGTAATCACTTTGTCTGTCCGTCCTTACACAAATTTTGTTCCTGGCTGATAACTTTGGTATTTATTGACCGATTTACATGAAACTTGGTCAAAATACACACTGAGGTAAAAAGTCGAGGTCAAAGGTCAAGGTCATTAGGTTCAAATGTCCAGGTCAAATTTTGCATCTTCTCACTGATGAACATTTTGTTATGACATGATGAAGCAAAGTTGATCAGAATTGAACAAGGAATCAACTGACAAAAGGTCAAGGTCAAATTTTGTAGCTTTTCACTAATTAGCATTTTATGACATTATGAAGCAAAGTTGTCGCAATTAAACAAAGAGATACACTGAGGTAAAAAGTCGAGGTCAAAGTTCAAGGTCATTAGGTTCAAAGGTCAAGGTCAAATTTTGCATTTTTCACTGATGAAGATTTTGTTATGACATGATGAAGCAATGTTAATCAGAATTAACCAAGGAGTCAACTGACCAAAGGTCAAGGTCATCGGGTCAGAGGTCAAGTCAAAGTTCAAGGTCAAATTTTGTAGATTTTCACTAATGAGCATTTTAAGACATTATGAAACAACGTTGGTCAGAATTAAACAAGGAGTCAGCTGACTTAAAGCCAAGGTCACTATGTCAGAGGTCAAGGTCAAATTTAGTATCTTTTCACTGGTGAACATTTCGTTATGTCACTTTGAAGCAATGTTGGACGGAATTAAACAAGAAGTCAATTGACCATAGGTCAAGGTAACTGGGTCAAAGGTCATAGTCAAATTTTGGATCTTTTCACTGGTGAACATTTCATTATGACACTTTGAGAGCAATGTTGGTCGGAATTTAACAAGGAGTCAATTGACTTAAGGTCAAGGTCACTGGGTCAATGTCAAGGTCAAATATTGTATTTTTTTTATTGATGAACATTTTTTTTATGTTATTATGAAGCAAAGTTGTTCAGAACTTAACATGAAGTCAACTGACCTAAGGTCCAGTTAAGGGATCCAAAGATTCAGGATCAAGGTCAAGTTTTGTATTTTTCACTGATGAACATTTTGTTATGATATTATGAAGCAAAGTCGGAATTAAAGAATAAGTCAACTCACACCACATATCAGGGTCACTGGGGTTAAGGTCAAGGTCATCTGTGTCTAAAGGTCAAAGACAAAGTGGACCTTTGACTTTGACCCTGGCTCTTGATAAAGGAGGTATTTAAGGTGAAATAAAACAAATCAAAGCTAACAAATGAATATTGCATCAGTATTTATATTTCTGTTAGCCCAGCAAATATGAAGGTGGAAGGAAACAAGACTCACATCAAATTACATGTAAAATGTACATTTTGCTTTCATGCAATTCTTTTTGAAGTCCAAATGTCAAATGTAAAGCTCAGCTATATGGGCAGATTGCTTCTTGATGATAATGGGGAGTATATTGCCACAAGACGCGGCCCTTACTGACCTGTCAGTGTTCTAGTTATGTTAACTAGTGTTTGACCTTACTTTAATAGGATCATTTCTTGCATTTAATGTAAATTTCGAAACATGCAATGAAGTTAATAAAAATGTTTTTCTAATCAATTAAAACAATTATTTTATACCAAAATTATTTTATTATACATAAACATCAATAATGCTACTGTATAAAATTCATTAATCATCGATCAATTAATCAGTAATACCAATATGATAATTCAGGATTCAGTAAAGTTGTAATAATGAAACAAAGATCTTGTATACTTATCATCCTTTACTCCTCACACAGGTATATTTGGGGTGCCAAAGGAACTCTGTACCCAACAGTACTACCGAGCAGTAGAGGAGTACAGTAAATCAAGACGGAGTCGCTCAACCTTGACCGAGGTACACTTCATTGACAAGGACACACAGATGTGTGAACTAATACAGACGACCTTCACCAAATGTTTTGCTGGAAATGCTGGGTCAAGTAGCTATGGAGCTGGCACTGGAGGTGGAAGCAATTTCTCATCGTCTGTTGTGTCTCTGAGGAATACTACCCCAGTTTTACAAAGGTCCAGCAGTGTATCTGCAGATGAAGATGGATCATCTGTAGACCCAGCAAGTCCATCCTTTATAGATAATCATAAGAACTTTGAGCGTTCACCATCCCGTGGTCAATGTTTTGAGTATCAGATTAATAATAATTTGACTGTTCACATCGTCCATGGAAATATTGTGGATGTTGAGGCTGATGCCATTGTCAGTCCCGAGAATGTCCAGTGTGACAGTACAGGAAGTATTGCCAGGGAAATCGCTCGAGTAGCTGGACAAGCGTATGTAGAAAATGACCAGTCAGAGCTAAGACTTACTAACAGAAAGCCAAAGCTGACGGAGGTACTGGACACTTTAGCGGGTCGATCTCACTTTAAGTATGTGTTACATGTGGTTGCACCTAAATGGAATGATACTGCCGTTGAGGACCAGTTTAAATATTGGACAGACCTTGAACAGTCTTACAACAATATCATCTCAACGATTGATAAGAAACATCTTCCTATTACATCTGTAGCATTACCAATTTTTGGAACTGGTAAGACAAAACATATCTTCTTACTTCTAACGTCTAACCATAGCTTGTTAACAGTTATCCAAACCCAATACAGTTTATCAGGACTTTTGGTATCCGGCCAGATAGTTCTACAGGAATTCTATTTTTGAGCTCATTATAATTTTGAAATAGAAAGCTATACCAAAAATCAAATAGGGGAAAGTCTGGTAAATTTGATCACACAGGTAAATCTGATAACTTTATATAGAATTCCACTTTTTAAAAATATCTGAATTTTGTTGTGATGTGCATCAGGTTAAAGATTGAATTTGATTGGTTGATTCTCGACACCCATCGAGAGCGGCAACTAGACGTCAAAGAGAAGGATAAGGATCTGCTTACCACAAAGAAAAAATTGTATATTTATTTAATCTTTGAATATCTTATAAGAATAACATATCAAAAGGTCAAGTATGAGTATACTTTGGACATCGTTGTATTTCAGGGATCCAAGGTCAAGACCAAGGTCACACTTGGTATATATATAGAAAATCATCAATTAATTCAATTTAAACACTTAGCAACTTCATTCCTTCATGGATTTTGGTCAAACTTTATGCAAAGGTCAAGTATGAGTATACTTTGGACATTGTTGTGTTTCAGGGTTCCAAGGTCAAGACCAAGGTCACTTGCTATATATAGAAAATCATCAACTGATTCAATTTAAACACTTAGCAATTTCATTCTTTCACAGATTTTGGTCAAACTTTATACAAAGGTCAAATATGGGTATACCATTGTGTTTCAGGGTTCCAAGGTCAAGGCCAAGGTCACTGTTGCTATAGATAGAAAATCATCAACTAATTCAATTTAAACACTTAGCAACTTCATTATTTCATGGATTTTGGTCAAACCTATGCAAAGGTCAAGTATGAGTATACTTCGGACATTGTTGTGTTTCAGGGTTCCAAGGTCAAGGCCAAGGTCACTGTTGCTATATATAGAAAATCATCAACTGATCATTTAATATGTTATGGAGATGGTAATAACATACAGAAAAAAATATGAATATTAAAATCAACTTATCACCTTTAAATGTAGAACCTTGTGTGTGTGCATGTTTCAGGGTATCAAGATCAAAGTGGTTGTAACTTTTTATAGAAGACTAAAACTAATTCCACATAGCAGCGGGGGCATTTATGTCTAACAGACATTTTCTAGTTTTTTATTTCATCAAGAAAAGACACAAACAGTGATCAAATTTAACCTACGTCTGTATTACTGGTGGAGGGTAAATTTGATCAGTAAAAAACGAAGCAAGTTGACTTCATAATTATCAATGTACCGTATAGAAAACAGACAAATCCTTATACATACAAAGCTATCAATGTGGAAAATAAGTCAAATAATTATCACATGTGTGGATCTACATTACCAAAGGTAAGGGGGGGGGGGGGGGGGGGGCAGTCTGAGAGTCTTTATTTTACATAGTAATAATTAAAGTGCACAATATAGACACACTGAAATCTCAAAGATGTTTATCTGAGATATAACCACATATTTCAATTACAAAAAAAGTAGAAAAAGACCTCAGTATTATCTATATACTTTTTATTTTGACCATAAATTTCGTAAAACAAATGAAAATGTTGAAGTGGGAAAAAATAATGTGTAAACTCACTTTTGCACCAATTTTATTTAAATGATAAAAAAAGACGAAACATTGCCCATTGTCCGATGCAAATCCCTTTCTTTTTGATTCCTGTACCAAAGACAGGTATACAGAATGTACCTGACATGAAATGAAACAGTAATTAATACTCTTTATATATATGTACAGGGTTCTCAAGGACGTCAAACCTGTAATGATCATGATTTGATTATGGTTCATGTTTAAACTCAGTTCAATTGAGTCAGTTTTCAAGTGGATAAGAACTTAAGAACTAACTACATTTATACATGTGTACACGGTATAACCATATATACAATTGTTGAGTATAAAGAGAAGCATGCACATTTGCTTCCAGGATGGTCTATGGTCTGGCCCCACCCTTTGAGACATAGTCCCTGGGTCATAACTTTGAAACGATTGAGATCCCCACCCCAGAACTATATATACAAATGCTTGGCATAAAGAGACAAAAGTAGTCATGGTATTAGAATAGACTCTGGGGTCTTACCGATCCGCGAACCCCTAGGGACCTAGTGTCTGAGTCACAGCTTGGAAACAGTTAAGATCCCCACCCCATAACCATTCATTAAATTGCTGGGCATGAAAAATCTAGTACAGACATGCTACAAGAATTGGCATTGGGGTCTGGCATATTCCCATGGATCTCATTTGGAGAATTTTTGCCATGATTGCTTAGATATCCAGGTGAGCGATACGGGCCCTATGGGCCTCTTGTTCTTCCATTGAGATAAATTAAGGTATTTTGACCAAATTTGAACAGTAGCATCCTATTGGGAAGGTAAATTGACTGTGTAGGCTAGCTCGAGGGGTGGGGCCCAATAGGGGTAATTTAGCAAATTCTTTAAAGATATCTTCTTTTTCTTCTGTAGGAGGAGTCCATATTTGGTCCAAAGCATCCTTGGGTGAAGGGGAACTAATTTTGTAAATGGTGGGTCAGAGGGGCCAGGTTCAATAATGGAAACATAGCAAAATCTTCAATTTCCTTCTTTTTCTGTAGGAATGACAGGATTTTGTCCAATTGCATATACATATAACCCCTGACCAACCATTTGATACATGTACAGCAACATCTGGCTATTTCAACTTCAATTTTGTTAACATTTCCAGGTGAGCTATATACGCCCTCTGGGCCTCTTGTTGATATCAGGTTTGAGCAAGAGTTTGGATGGAGTCGTGGCTGATTGGATCGTTTTTTTCTGCTCCAAAAAACCTTGCAAGCACAACTTCTCCTTTACTTTTTTTTTATAACTTGGCACATGGAATATGGCCATATGTAGATGTGCAGGAAGGAAGGGATTTGTGATTGAGGTATTATACCCTCTGCAAATGTTTGAATATGTAGTTAAAATGAAGCGGGGGGGGGGGGGGTATATCTTTGTCTGCCTGCATGGTCAGTTTCTCTACGAATTTCCCATTGGTTACAATGTTAAGCTTGTTGAAAATAATCATATCAGTACCCAAAACACCACATTTTGTTACTAGATCTCCTATTAATCAATGATTAAAGGTATTAAGATTGTTCATTGTTTGAATAAGATGCTTCAAAATTGATTTATCTTTGTAATCAAGAATAACATTTATTTCTCATATTTATTTCATGAACAGGTACAATTGCTGGACATCCTGCTCCAATTATAAGTATATCTAAAATGATAGCCAAAATTTGTAAAAGCTGTGCAGAGAAGACCACTTTGAGGAAAACACTGTATTTCTGCAATAACGACAGTGTAGCAGCAAAGACATTGAGGGATGTTTTTGAAAAGAAATTCAACAAAGTTAATGAGGGGGCAGAGGATGTTAAAAAAGGTCAGACCCCCCCTGGCACGACCGGACGTGACCGAGGGGCAGGTTTGGAGGTCACAGAGGACTGCTGTATCTGTATGGACACTATGACTGAGCCTAAGAAGCTGTCGTGTGGTCACATGTTCTGTAGAGAGTGTATAGACCAGCAGTTTAAGTACAAACCAGCCTGTCCCCAGTGTGGAGCTGTCCATGGGAAGATCACAGGGGACCAGCCACCGGGGACGATGACCATGACTACCACCAAGTCGTATTGGCGAGGTGGCTCCCTGCCAGGTTATGAAGGATGTGGTATCATCAACATCACCTACAGCTTCCCTTCTGGGAAACAGGGAGTAAGTATGTCTTGGGTAATTGTGACCAATAAGTAAATTAAATGTTATTTATGCATTAGGCGATGTAGGGTATCTGTAACTGAACTACTTCTGTTTGACAACTTACCTTTTTTCAGAATTTCTTTAAGCAACATACATTAATTCCACAAAAGCTTTACCAGTGAAAGCACTTTCATGTAGTCTACAAATGAAGCAAAAAATCTGACGGTTAAATTAATAGAGGATTAATTGTCAAAAACATGCGACAGATTTCGTCACCAAATTGGAAATATTATAAAACCATTTCATTGATTTATGGTAAATTGTACCTTTATCAGGAAGAATTTTTAATTACGTTTCTACAGATGGGTTCAACATTACTCACTTCCTGCTAGATGTTTTACAGAATTATTGTTGTTTTAAATTTGAGAATTATAAACAACATAGAAAAACAAAAACTACAGGGATCTAACTTGGGACATGCATTCAGTGAATCCTATATACAGCTACATTCGACCAATTTCGCTATCTTGGAATTATAGATGCACAACATTAAAATGAGTGATGAATACCATGAAAAAGGAATTAACTCTGGATTGAAAAACTTGTCGAGGGGATATTAATTTGGGTCTGTCCCTCTGTCTGTCTGTCTATCTGTCTTGTCTGTCACGCTTCGTTTCCGTGCAATTACTACAACAAATGTTAACCGATTTCCTTCAAACTTGGTCAAAGGGTTAAATGCCTTAAGGGCCCAGTCTAATTTGGTTAACAATTTCAGCGGACCCCATTCGGCGGAGTTATGGCCCCTTGAATAATGAAAAACATCATTATCTGCCGCGCTTCTTTTCCGTGCAATAACTTCAACAAATCTTAACTGATTTTCTTTAAACTCATTCACAGGGTTAAATGCCTTAAGGGCTCTGCCATTTTTTTGCAGAGAAATGGCACCTTGAATAACGAAAAACGTCATTATCTGCTGCGTTTCGTTTCCGTGCAATAACTACAACAAATGTTGACCGAGTTCTTCAAACTTGGTCACAGGGTTAAATGCCTTAAAGGCCCGGCCAAGTTTGATGACCACTTTCAGCGGAATTTATTTGGCGGAGTTATGGCCCCTTGAATAACGAAAAACGTCATTATCTGCCGTTTCCGTGCAATAACTGCAACAAATGTAAACCATTAAGGGCTCGGCCAAGTTTGACAACCACTTCAATCGGACTCTATTTGGCAAAGTCATTATCTACAGTTTAAATTTCCGCTTGGTAATAACTCTAGCAAATATTAGATAAGGCTTTTTAGGTCACCTGAGACAAAGTCTCAAGTGACCTATTGCGATCACCTGAATTTGCTGGCGTCGTCTGTCATGCGTCCGTAAACAATTTACATTTTCGACTTCTTCTCAAAAACCCTGAACCAATTTCAATGAAATTTTGCAAAAACCTTCCATTGGCAAAGGTCAACAAAAATAGTGGCTGGTTTGGTCCCAAGTCCCCAGGGGCCTTAGGGGCGGGGCCAAAAAAGGTCAAATTGACTAAAACTTCAAAAATCTTCTTCTCAAGATCCAGATATGGTAGAATCAAATACTCTTCATAGATGGAAGCTAGGGTCTTAAGGTGCTTTACCAAAATTTTGAATTTCTTGACCCTGGGGTCTGACGTTTCCCCCTGGGGAGGGGGTAAACTTTACTATAGTTTATATAGGGAAATCACATTTTGGACCAACATTTATTAAATTTCCATTGGAAGTAATTCAATTCAGGTTAGCATTATCAGTATTAGGTAGCAGTTTGATAGTATGCACATATGAGCCCTGACTGACCCCCAGGGGATGATGGGTGGGGCCAAAAAGGGTCGAAATTGACTGAAATTTAAAAAATCTTTTCCTCAAGACCCAGATATAGTAGAATCAATTACTCTTCATAGATGGAAGGGTCTTAAGGTGCTTTACCAAAATTGTGAATTTCATGACCCTTGGGTCTCACGTTTCCCCCTGGGGAGAGGGTAAACTTTACTATAGTTTATATAGAGAAATCACATTTTGGACTAGCATTTGTTTAATTGCCATTGGAGGTAATTCAATTTGGGTTAGCATTATCATTATTGGGTAGCAGTTTGATGGTATGCACATATGAACCCTGACTGACCCCCAGAGGCTGATGGATGGGGCCAAAAAGGGTTGAATTGACTGAAATTTAAAAAATCTTCTTCTCAAAGACCTAGATATGGTAGAATCAAACACTCTTTATAGATGGAAGGGTCTTAAGGTTTATGACCCTAGGGTCTCAGGTTTACCCCCTGGGGAAGGAGGGGAGGGGGGGGGGGCAAAATTTATTATGGTTTATAATGGCAAATGATACTTTGAATATTACATGTTAATAACTTGATTGGAATTATAACCCATCTGACAGTTTGATACTTTAAAAATTTTGAGCCAGCCTTACCCCCAAGGGCTGTAGGGTGGGGCCCAAAGGAGTCAGTGTGCTAAAATTTCTTCATTTTCCTTGTTTAGAAACAGAGGTGCTAGTTTCAAATACATCCTAGTCTTAAATCTGCATGCTAGATATTGAATAAGGTGGTTTTATTAGCTCACCTGGCACAAAGTGCCAAGTGAGCTTATGCAGTGGCGCGACGTCCGTCATCCGTTCGTCCGTCCCGCGTCCCGCGTCAATATTTTACTTTAAACGACTTCTTCTTAATAACCGAAAGGCCTATGGTGATGATATTTGGCCAGAAGCAAACTGGGATGAAGGGCTACAAAGTTTGTTCAAATTAATGACCTTCACTCATTTTCAAGGTCACTGGGGTCAAGTATGTTAAAAACTTTAAACATCTTCTCGATAACCGAACTGCCCAGGGAGATGATATTTGGCCAGTAGCATGCTTGGGTGTAGGGCTACAAAGTTTGTTCAAATGAATGACCTTTACCTATATGCAAGGTCACAGGGATCAAATATGTTAAAAACTTTAAACAACTTCTTCTCAAAAACCAAAATGCCCAGGGTGATGATATTTGGCCAGTAGCATGCTGACATGAAGGGATACAAAGTTTGTTCAAATGAATGACCTTCACCCATATTCAAGGTCAGAGGGGTCAAATATGTTAAAAACTCTAAACAACTTCTTCTGAATAACCAAAATGCCCAGGGTGATGATATTTAGTCAGTAGCATACTAGGATCAGGGGCTACCAAGTTTGTTTAAACGGATGCAAATATGTTCAAAATATTTAAACAACTTGTTCTGAATAATCAAATGGCTCAGGATGTTGATATTTAGTCAGTAGCATGCTGGAATCAAGTACTACTATGTTTGTTAAAGTGAATGACTTTGACTTATATTCAAGGTCACAGGGGTCAAATTTGTTTGAAATCTTTAAACGACCTCTTCTGAATAACCATGGGTCCCAGGATGTTGATACTTTGCAAGTTGCATCCTGAGAATAAAGGCTATAAAATTTGTTCAACATAATGATTTAATTTGCCTGTAGCTTTATTTTAGATCACTTTTAAGGTTACAAGTGTGAGATTTATACCAGGTGAGCGATGCAGGCCCATTGGGTCTCTTGTTGTTTTTTGTCACTTTACATAATATTTCTGTTCGTGTTAAAAACAAAATCAACTCTCTGTATAAATATATCAGGTGACCGTTAAGGCCCATGGGCCTCTTGTTTTTCTTCAAGTTTCAAGCTATACATTATGTCTCAACAGCTAGTACTCACATGTTTAAACCTAACCTCAATAATGTTTACCTACAATATGTCCTGAAAGTGGGGGATATAAATTCCACGAATTTGCTTGTTTGTATAAATAATAGAAATAGGATTTAAAAAGACTAAGTAAGGATATCATTGGTACAAATAGACATATAACTGTCAGTTGCATTTTTATCAATAATAGTGAATAAACGGTACTTCAGGAATGCATGTACAGCTAAGTTTTTTCATGAATTAAAATATTCAATGCAAGTTTGTGCCACTCAAATATTGCATTCAAAAGTTAAAAAGTGTGTGTCTACCTTTGACCAATGGAATCATTTACCAGATTTCTGGTAAGCCTCGTTCTGACTTAACGAAAAGATATCGTAGATTTTGACCAGACTCTCTGTTCGGCGTAGCTATAGGGCAGACATTCAGAGTCTGGTTAAGCAAGACTATGTTCAGATTAGAATTGTGTAAGAATTGAGAAGTTCTGTTAATTTTTAGTTATGTTTTTTTCAACCTCTCCTATGTTTGTAGCCAGACCATCCTACCCCAGGTAAATACTACCAGGGTATCACCAGACCTGCGTTTCTTCCTGACAACAAGAAGGGTCGTCTTGTGGCTAGATTGTTAAGAATAGCCTTTGACAGGAAGTTGGTGTTCACCATTGGAAGGTCAAGGACAACTGGACATGATGGGGTCGTTACCTGGAATGACATTCACCACAAAACCAGATCGGACGGTGGCCCACAAGCGTAAGTCTTGGTCTCAATGTCCAAATACCTATTCCACAATACAATTAAAGTAATTGGTTAAGGTGCTTCTGTATCACTCTTCAGTGGAGATCATGTGCAGACAGGACACCCTTCTCCCACCCAAGCTAAAGACACATAGCTTTATTTATTACTTCATCCGGTCCATATGACGAAGGTGTGATTCCCACATTGTGGCATTTAGTGTCCATTCTTTATCCATCAAACTATTTCTGTAATCAACTTTATTCTCCTAAAGAATTGCAAGACAAAGTGTCAAAAAGAGTTTGAATGAGGCCAAAAATAACTCCAAATTGCTTAAGTGAAAGACTACCAAGAAAAAAAGATTGTTCAAATATACAGTTGTCAAATGTGTTAAAACAATGGAACCAATACTTTCAATATATCATGAGGCCTAGACTTATGATATGTGGTCTAGTAGTGTATTGGGTTGTTGAAACATAATACTCTTGTTCACTGTCCCAGGGGTTTCGAATGTCTTAAAATTCTTCTGACAGACCATGAGGTATAGAGTAAATCTAGGCTGTACCCTGCTGTGATGAATGACTATCAAGCTGACTTTCACACACATTTCTATTGCTAGTAGTTTCTCATTCAAGATTCCATGTGAGCAATGTTGTTCCACTGTTTGCTTTCTCCTGCCAGTTGCCAGTTGCTGACAATGTTTCCTTGACGGCCTTGTTGGTATCTCCCGGGTTCTGCTTTCGACTGTTCTTCATACAAAAATCTCCAGAACATCAATCCTAGCCCAAATCCCAACTCTAAACAATGGTGATAAACATCAATAGATAAGTCCTGTAAAAACGTCCTCTTCCATCTCCCAATCTGGACATTCTTCAGCTTCTCCTTGAAAGGATAATTATATGCCCGTCAAATTTGACGGGAGTATTATGGTATGGCGTTGTCCGCCTGTCCGTCCGTCTGGCGTAAACTTTTGTTTGTCCGGCAACCATCTCCTTCATTTTTCAATCGATCTGTTTGAAACTTGGAATAAATTATAATCATGATATGAAGATTTGTCATCCAGAGATTTTCTCCTACATTTTATAGCATGTCAGCTAACTACTCTTTAAATGATGCAGATCTTATTTCAATGTAAGAAAGCATTTAACACTATATGGCATTCAACGGGCCTATATTGTTCCGTCCCACGGTACTCTTGTTTTTATTTTCTGCTAGTATGCCTTTTGACTTCACCACACTTTGGTTTTTAACTTGTAGTTCCAGGCTCTAAGTGATGTCTGCAAATTCATAAAATAAATGTAGGCTCCACAGGATTATTAGTTCTGTTATGCAGGTCTTGGTTAGGATGGGGTTCAAACTCTAGGGAGTCCAAAGGTGATTCCTATTCAGAATGCTTTCTCCTTATGCAACAAGAAGAAATGAAGACACATGGTTCAGGGTATGTTAATAATGATTATACATGATTATCTGTTCAGTTATGCAGGTCTTGGTTAGGACGGAGTTCAAACTCTTTAGGGAGAAGTCCAAAGATCATTCATCTTCGGAGTGTTTTCCTATTATGCAACATGGACAAATGGATCGCAACGAACAAAATCAAAAAATGGATTTTTCTGCTATTAAAACTGGAGAAGATTGTGGTGGTCCTTCAGGCCCCTTAACTCTTTGGCAGATGTGGTGCTTCTTATTAGGTTTCCCTCTTAATATTTCCTCTGATCAACTGGGCTGTCTTGGCATTCAGATGATTATGTTTAACTGAAGCAGACAGTCATGTTTTTCTCTGTTCAGTGATGGAAGTGACAGGCAATCTTGCATTGTGAATCCAGTGCTTCCACAGCAACCTTGGGTGTGGATTAGCAACAATGTCTCCAACCACATCAGTTTGCAGAAGATGTGAGCTATGTGTTGGCCTTTCGTAGCTTTAGAGCTCCACTCATTGGTCACGGGTTTTGCCCAAGGACACCTAATTCAATACTCAGTTTTATGCCATTACAAAACATTTTTAGCTCACCTGCCCGAAGGCACAGTGTTCGTCGTCCGTTGTCCATCCGTCGAAATGGTTAATATCCCCTACCCAAAACTATATATACAATTGTTAGGCATAAAAAGACGAATGCATTCATGATATTAGAATTGACCCTAGGGTCTGCCCCACCCTTGCAGACTTGACCCCTGGGTCATAACTTTGAAACGGTTGAGATTCCCACCCCAAAACTATAAATACAAATGCTGGGCAAAAAGAGACGATGCAATCATGATATTAATATTGATCATGGGGTCTGATCACAACCGTAGGGACCTAGTTTCTGAGTCAAAGCTTGGAAACAGTTTAGATCCCTACACCATAACCATACATAAAATCACTGGGCATGAAAACTCTAATACAGATACGCTACAAGGATTGGCCTTGGGGTCTGGCATATTCCATTGGATCTCATTTAGAGAATAATTTGCCATTATTGCTTAGATATCCAGGTGAGCGATACAAGCCCTCTGGGCCTTTTGTTTACACCAAAGTATGGAAACATCACGTTCTTCACCTGATTAGATTTTGATGATCGTCGGTCAAGGCTCTGTATTGTTAGAGTAAGGTTTGAAATATCCCATTCTGGATGTAGTTGTCCAAGAGGTGTGGATGCGCACAGCACCTAATGACTTTTAAAAGTGTTCCTAAATGTTGTAACTGATACAGATGTTGCAGTTGCCTCATCATCCATTCGATCTAATTCAATGTCTGTTCTGGCTTATAGTTTTTATACGCCTGTCATTCAGGACATATAATGTGGGCAAGTGGGCGGGCGTGAATGGTGTATGGTCGATATCTCGAGTAGTTTTCAATGGATTAACTTCAAACTTAAAAGAAGGTTCATTATCGTGATAGCTCAGACAAGTTTGATAACCACCATTGTCCAACAGTAATATATGGAGTTATGGCCCTTTATGTACAAAAAAACAGACATCTGCTCATTCAATATATGACGGGCGTGTAATGTTTTGTTTTGTTACCTGTAATCTATGTTTCGGAAGTCGCTACAGTTACCGTTCGAGTTGTGACTTGAAATTGGTCCACAGAGGTTCTCGGAGGGGTATTTGTTCAGTTTAGTGGATGATTGTATCTTCCGTTGGTGTCTAAATGGTCTAAATGATATTGAAATTATTGGAGGTCCAAGTTCCTTAACATATGCGTATGAAATGGTTAGCTCATGTTCTTTGTCATGCCTCATATGTCACTCTACTGTTCTGCACTCTTAAATACAAATCTGTATCCCTTCTGGTAATGTGGAAGGTTGGAGCATTTATTGACTTTCTTCGCCTAATTTACATATTTAAGATGGTGTCTGCATGTTTGTCTATGGCTGCTAGTCGAAATATTTTTAGGTCACCTGAGACAAAGTCTCCAGTGACCTATTGCGATCGCCTTTTGTCCGTCGTCGTCCATCGTGCGTCCGTAAACAATTTACATTTTCGACTTCTTCTCCAAAACCACTGAACCAATTTTAATGAAATTTTGCAGGAACCTTCCATGGACAAAGGTCAACAAAAACAGTTGCCGGTTTAGTCACAAGCCCCCAGGGGCCTGAGGGGCGGGGCCAAAAAGGGTCAAATTGACCAAAATTTCAAAATTTATTATGGTTTATAATGGCAAATGATACTTGAAATATTACAGGTTAATAACTTGATTGAAATTATAACCTTGAGTTGACAGTTTGATACTTTGAAAATTTTGAGCCAGCCCTACCCCCAAGGGCTGTAGGGTGGGGCCCAAAGGAGTCAGTGTGCTAAAATTTCTTCATTTTCCTTGTTTAGAATCAGAGGTGCTAGTTTCAAATACTTTTTAGTCTTAAATCTGTATGCTAGATATTGAATAAGGTGGTTTTATTGTTTTTTGTTACTTTGAATAATATTACTGTACATGTTAAAAACAAAATCAACTCTCTGTATAAATATATCAGGTGACCGTTAAGGCCCATGGGCCTCTTGTTTAGAATCTCCAGAGGTCTTCGAGATCATTTCTTGATGATCCTTAATGGTTGTGCTTGATATGTTTAAAACCGCCACAAAGAGTTCCTCCCAGCTTGCTTTTGAAAAATGCAAGTTTCTTCCTCGGTGTTTGATGAACGTGTTACTTGGTATCAGACATGAAGACAACAACATCGTGGTTCGATATTCCTTGTTAGTCACACTGCTTTTCACAAGGTCTAGCAGAAAGTCGCCTCTAGTGGGTTGGTCAATCATTTGGGTAAAGATTAATAGTCTGTACCAGGGCTTCCTGGACAGGTTTGTTTCTTGCATTTTTGGGAAATAGATAAGATTTTTCAGTCAGTGTCTAGGCTTTTAAAATCTCTGATATTTCTATCTTTACTATTTTGGGTTAGACTGGATGGTTTTTCAAGTTTTCGTTTATACTTATTATCCCAGTGCGGCATAAAAGATGACCCTGCAAACAGATCTAATTTACCTTGGAGTTTAACCTTAACCCAGGCGACTCAAACTCAGTAACACTCACGTATTCAGATATCACAATGTCCTCATGTATAAATACGAATACTCTACAACCTAAGTTTAACCTGGTTTGTAACAAGATTCTGTTCTGCAGATGATGTCAGTGTTCATATGATCAAAAGATGCCCTCAATTTGGATTACTTGGCAAAATCCCTTTCAATCACTTACAGATTTCTAAGAATGGGGTTTCGGGGTGTTCGTTGACTGTCTCGTACTCCACGATCTCCGAGTTCATTTGCTATCTGTCCCGCGTGGTGCGTATGCTGCTCTTCTCAATTTGTTTTAGGAGTTATATTTGTGTGAGCCTTCCTTCAATTTGTTTCAGGAGTTATATTTGTGTGAGCCTTCCCTCAATTTGTTTTCATTTTTAGTCAGATTCTGTGGTGTCAGATTTCTAGCTTACTTGCATATTTAACAATTGGAAAAGATTTTTTAAACTATTCATTATTAAGATGACAGCTTAATACTCTTAGACGAGTTATAAATATTACTCGTTAAATATAATATGTAATGAAGGTTCGTCGTTACTTTCTCATCAATTGTTATATCTGTTCTGAAGGTTTGGGTACCCGGATCCTACTTATCTGGATAGAGTTCTGGACGAGTTGAAAGCCAAGGGAGTCACAGAGGAGTCCCTAAACGACCCATGAGCCAACAATCCGAGGCAGAAAATACTTTGACTTTATTATGAGTCACCATGAAGCCCCTCTATTGTCATCAGTGAAAAACTCTGCAATTCCAGGGATTTCATACACCTATCAAATATTCAGGAGGATGGAGTTCTTTGAAAAAACTGTGACTTAAAGAAAGTCATAAATAAAAACCCAAGAGAGGAATGTTTTTTTATTGATACACTCATTGACGATTTTGATGGGAGTATCAGTTTTACTCTAACCCTGGAAGTAAGAAAAGACCAATGTATGAAATTTGACTTTTCATTCAGAAGCAGATAGTGTTACTAAAAGGAGAGTATATATTTATCTTAAATTTGTTATAGCACATGCTTATCTTTTTGCGGAATTTTAAACCATATATTGTCTAATAGGATGATTCTAGCTAATGTTTATTAGGTTGTGTGTACCAGGTTAAAAACTGATATACGTCAGTTTTACTGTTGCGGATGTGTTGATCAAGTTTATATCAAACATTTGATGTTTAGAGGATATTTGGTAACCCCTTGATGATTTTAATTACACAATACAGTGACCTCATTTTAATGGTCAATACGTTATTGATAGCAGTGTAAAATTGGGTTGTTCAGGTTACATAACTTGCAGGATGTGTAATATTTCCATGCAAATGATATAATCAGAATTATTTTCTCTGATTATATCATTTCCTATCTAAAATTTTGTAATTATTTCTTGCCATCCAAAATGGTGAGTAACATGTTTTGCTCTGTTTACTCTTTAATTAATATTGAATATTGTCAGTTATAATATTAATACTCAGTTTATTTGCTATGCCTTCCCTTCATGCATGGGATACCAATTGTATTTGTAATTATCCGTCTGGTTACTTTTTAATTAATTATTTCTGGGCCGTAATAGCCTATCTTGATGAAATTTTGTCGCATCAACCCAAGGAGGTCACCGTAATATTCACGTCAAGGCCATTAATATTAAGTAACTGTAAAATTTCTATCAATTTTTTTTTAATGCCATTATGTTTTATGTGATGTGCAGATAGATAACCAGTTGAATCTTCGGCGTCCTGAAATTAAGCATTTGGATCTGAAAAATAAATATTCCAGATTACTGAGACATGTTCAGACGTTGAAAGTTGATATAGGCAGGGACAAAATCTGATTCCAATATAACTCCTGCTAATCCTTGATTTGAACTTCACAAATAGGCTTGGTACAGCTAAACCTGCGTTATATGAGAACAACCTCTGAAAAGCAAAATTGGCCCTCAGCTCAGGTTGTCCGTTAAAATATGTTTAAATCATAGCGAAATTACCAAAGTTGGAGATTTTCATAGTGGTTTTTAACATAAGCAATATCTGAACCGAGGTCATCGCAATAGCAAGTTTGGCTGTGTGCTGGCTGCTTTGTGATAAAGGTTATACCAGATCATCTTTACCAAGTCATCCTCAGATATATAGAATATCCTATCCAAATACGTCGTTTTCGAGATACCTTTTCACTCCAGATTCGACCCGTTTCAGAAATACATGTCACGTGATAGGGCGTATATATACTTCTGCTAAACAACGATAATCTGATAGCAGTTCAAACAATATGAAAGAAGACAAGGGGGGAACTAGTCATCAGATCTTCTTTTGTATAAAGGATGTAAAACTTCAGCTAGTTCCATCACAAGTTTCCAATCTTTCACTGCTTTGACGTCCACCTTCTACTTATGTACCTTCATACAGGAAGTATATGATAATATCCCCCTTAATGTACAACATAACAAGCAAGTCACGTGACTTTTGTTCCTGAAACGTTTATTTCCAAAATGACGTATTGACATCAGTAAATGGAGTTTTTGTGCGGAAACAACGATTGTTATAATTAAAACTCAACGACGATAAATGATGATGAAAGAGTTATTTGTAAAGATGAAAATATTATCTGTGTGATATTGTAAGTATATTTTTTGTGGAAATGATTTGTTTGTAAGTGTTTCCTTACTTCATAGTTATGGTAATTGTTTTGCTTAAATATATACCATTGATAATGAATGATTTCTTATATACCATAAACATTTTAATGTAAGATTATGTTTTTAGAAACTTTCATATGACAGTTACTTGTTTAGATGAATGATTTCTTGTATACCATAATTTTTTTATGTAAGATTATGTTTTTAGAAACTTTCATATTTACAGTTACTTGTTTGGAAGCTTATAACGTACAATTAGATGGTTCTGGAAATTTTCTAACACACCGGTTCTAGCTATGACTTTATAACTTATAACATCACTCAGGTTTTACTAATCACGAAAGGTTTGAACTGCAACAAATGAAAACCAGACAGTGAAAATGAAAGTGTTAAGAAAAAATACTCGAAAGGTAAGAAATTACTCACCATCTCAGTAAGAAATTGATTTCATGGAAAATTAATGTTGTCTTTTATAGGACAATATAGCTATTGAGAAGTGAAATGATTAGACAGATTCACTGTATCAGAAAAGAAAACAAAAAACTTTAAAAAAAAACTAAAATATAATGCATCAATTTTGTCTAGATTATAGACACTGTTGATAGCTCGTTAAATTATGTCAGGTTCTACAACATATTGGAGGTAGCAGGGAAATGTAGAATTAAAAGTAAGAGCTGTAACAGTTCTCATGTTGATTATAAAAGAAGCTTCATAGAGATTGGTGAAAATCAGACACAATGGGAATGAGTTTGAGATTATCTTCATATTATGTTTCACATTTCTGTGTAATTAACATGTACTTTTAGTTTTTGTCATACAAAGTAAGTGACAAAAGAGAAAAAAAAGAGGAAAAAAAAAGAGAAAAAATCACCTTTTATGTAATCATGTAGTTTCATGTGCGAGTACAAGGAATCAAACTACACGTTATGGAAAGTTGATGACTTAATTCACGATTGCCTGTAATTGTTTTATGTTAGTCAGGCTGTATATTCTCTTAGTTGGATTCGTTTTTATCGTTGATTTACTTGAATATGTCTGTAAATATGTATTTTTGCTCTCATGGTTTCATGTTTTATCATTGATATTTCAAGGAAATATTTACTTTTATTCCAGAGTTTAATGTAATTCGCTTACTTTTGCTTCATCATCCAACTCATATAAAGTTCAAATTTGCATTGTTTTGATTGGTTAATTTTGATTAATTGTCTTACCATGGTAATACCAAGACATCATAGGAATGTTATAAATATATACTGACATATGATACAAAGAGATGTAATATGTATATATATATTTATCAAAGTTAAAGATTCAATGAGATATGATATATATATCAAATTACAAAAATGTAATATTAGTACATCAACGTCATAAAATAGTATGTGTATATCAACGTTACTATAGTATCATGTCTTTATATATGCACATAATTACCTTTGTTTTGCAGTCTGAAGTGGATGGTGTTATTATACATATTCTATAGACATGTGACTTACAATTATCATTGCTTCTGTTTGATGTAATTCTTTGGATTATTGGTATCGGACGAGATTGCTGTGGAGAAGGGATCGACTATACTTTATTTCTAATTAAGTGTTAAGGGATTTGATCACGAGATTTATTGCTTTCCTACAAGTAGATAGGAAATGAAGTGTGTGCTTTTCTGTTGGATGATGTGAATGACCTACAGGAAGCAGGCAGACATATTTGTGCATACTTCAATGTAGATGATGGCTACCTGATGTATGTCTCAGCTTGTAAGATTGACCAATCACATGAACATACTGTTAGTTTAGACAGTCGGGCAAATGGATGTCTGTGACTTAGTTTCGCCATACGCAGTATATGATATATGATGTAGCTAGGCGGCATCAGATCCTTAAGTTCATTTGTGATGCTTAAAGCATTTTTTATAACCTGCAGGGCAAGGCGTATGACAGAGTAAAAAAAAAAGCAGTGATATTGAAAACGTCATTTGGCTTCAAGATTACTCCAGATTGTTGAAAGCAATTTCTTAATCCCCGAAAACAAGAAATGAGGATTGAGCACATAATGTCAATGTGAACATGACAACGTGTTCATGAGAAAAACCCCTGTTTTATAAATATTGCTTCACACATAAGTGTATGTTTTGTTAGGACCTGCTATTTGGTCTACGTTTATAACGTTATATATGTCATTTGATAGAAAACACTTATGGTCATATGGCTAATGTCTGAAACAGTACGATACAAATATGTTTTTATATCTTTTGTTCGTGTATATAAATGATTGTTTTGTAAGCTTGCAGAGCACAGTAATACACCAGACCATTGACCAAAAGGTCATAAATATGGATCCCGGAGATAATGGGATCATATGGTCGTGTTCTGTGGGAATAACAATTCATCTTTGTAGCCACACTAATCAACCCAATAGTGGAGTATATAATGGTTTTATTGGTTTCAATAGCCTCAATCAAGGAAAGGTATAACATGTTTTAATGAAAAAAGAGGAAAAGGTTTCTATATATAAAACGATAAAATAATTATTTTGCGTAAGATGACACCTTTAACTATGTGTTAATGTTTTTGTATGTATACATTTCTTTGTAGATGTTATTTGGAGAGAAATGTGATTTTGTTTTGTTGTAGTTTTAGAAGAAATGTATTTCGTTTTGTCATTGAAAATTTTCTCAAGAATATATTTCCATATGATGTTTTACGCTGCTCTTGTTTACACTGATAGCCAGGACTCGTTTCTGTGGTTTGTCAAGGTACCAACCTATCTTTTAATGAATGCCTAATTCAAAATAACAGATAAGGACATTTATTGATTTATCAGAGCAAGGGAATGGTTATCTTTTGTCCGAATGTCTTCGATCTGGAAATTAAATTTCCAGACATGATGTTCAAGAAATAGATGAGTAGCATTTCAATTTCATCATACATTGCAGTAATTGGTAAGGTAGGATATATATTTCGCTAGTTTGAGCAGACTAAAAATTGTTTCGACTATCAGGCTCAGTTTTGTGAAGCTAGCTGTACCAAATCACACTATACTTATTTATATAAACTTTTAATTCATGACTTGATCGATTTTTGATTTTCAAAATGATCACATGATAGCAAACACTTGATATAGATATTTTGAGATGTCAATTAAAATACCTTACCACAAACATTACCCCTAACACTCTTTGTACACCAAAATGTTGCCTTGACCGCACCTTATGTTCGATTGGTTATGTTCATTTGAAATCAAATTCTATAATAATGTTATTATTATTGTCTGTTTTATTTTAAATTTCAAAGATGAAAATATGGTATCCAAAAGAGTAATTAAGAATGAAGTTGTCTTAATTTGATTGTGTTTATTTGTATTGTTTATGCAGTACATTTGCATTTTTGATATTCATGAAAACCATTTTATAAATCAGACGGAATTGAAACTAATTTAAGATTTTTCATTATATCATTTCAATAACTATATAAGTAAGTATATCTGATCACTCATTTGAAGAAATATAAAACGGAAAAAAAACTTGAATCATTGCCTTTTAGCAGGAACCAGGGTGGTTCCTTTCATTGTAAATTGTAACATAACAGTGGGTGGTTTTCCATATTTAACCCGTAGGAATCATATGTGTTTGTTTTATTTCACTTTGTAACAGCTAGATTATTTGATAAAAAAATGTTTGTTGATTTTTTAAGTGTTTAATCAATATATTTATCAGGCTTGTCTGGGAAATGATTTCACAGTCCAATATAACAAATGTAATGAACAGATTTTGAAGTAATTTGTTCAATTAACATATGTATAGCTATTGTTTGGTAGGCGATTACTCTGACTAGTGCACTAGATTTAGATAAGTAAAATCAGTCAACACTACTCTCAACCTTAAGTATCAGCTTTAAGTTTCATAAGGTTATCGAATATGTACAACATTAGGTATCATCTAATGGCGCAAAATATACAGGGTCACTATACTATAAAAGATGTTATAAATTCTGCAAATGCACCATTGTAGATTGAAATATGTGTGTAGGAAAGAATTGTTTGAAAGAACTTTCAAAAAAAATCATATAGTTCTGTCTGATGTAAACAACAGTTTAGTTGTGCGTGTTACAAAGGTAATATCATAGTCTTGAGTCCGTAAGTCTATGAACTCTTTATCTCAGTGTACATCTTGAATGCATGCCATTCGTTTTATGGGTTTTTTTCGTCAAGAAGAAACAGCAAAACATTTTTGTCCATGTATTTGTTCAATTTAGCTAAAGCAAGAACCATAAGAAACAACGTGAATTTGCTTTTGAATTTATACCTTGTACTTTCAAATTGATTTTTTTTTACCTGATAATTCAAATTCGAATCAAAATTTAATCTCTTGTCAAATCCAAGAACACTCTTATTGCCAAAGGATACTTATATTTTTTTGATTTATCACACACTTCGTTCGATGTATGGAGTTGTAATCATTTATAAATGTATCATACGAATAGAGATACTTTATACTTCAAATTACTTCAACTTGAATATTATTGGGGGAAAAAACACCATAACTGAAATACAACAAAACAAAATACCACAACTTGACAACGCCATGACAAATACAACAGTACCACAACGTCAAAACACAAAAATCAAATACCACGACATCAATACACACAAAAATACCACGACATCAATACACACAAAAATACCACGACATCAATGCTCAAAAAAGTATACCTTTATGTCAATTAACAAAATGATAATACCACAATGTCAATGAATAATTTTTAAAAAGTCATTTGCAAATTACCGTAACGTCAACTAAAATATCATTTATATCTAAAAACATGAAACAAATATATATGAAATCAGAATGAGCCCACATCAAAGGAAAGTAAAAAGAATAGGGGAAAAATATTGCCGAAATGATTTTAATGGCTTTACAGTAATAATAATATTAAGAATGACATATTCAAGTTTACATCGAACGATTAAATAGACATCTGGTTGTTTATGGGTATGTAAACGGTCAAACAAGAGAAGAACATCCAGTGTATAGTGTACACCCAGTATGTAATGTATAACCATGTTTTATAATCTGAACCTCTGATAATGAATAATTATTTCGACTTTGTTTATTAAAAAGATCACTTTTTATTTCTATTTAACCTGATAAGCTATTGTACGTTTTAGTTTGTTTCATGAACGAAATATTTGCTTGAAAATATATTGTGCCATATAACGGAAGTCAGAATTATTATTATGTCTTGGATGTGAGTATTTATTAAGCGAACACGTTTGTTCTCTAATAAGAGTATATATGGAAAAATCAAACCGGTCTCGAGGTTTATTCAGTAATAACGACTTTCATCCCTTTTGTTGATTCGTATAAGTGTCTTAAAAGGTCAAATAATTAATATGAAACGAAAACATTGCACGCAATATTACAAAGTCGTTTTTCATCAAGTTTAAATCAAATTAAAAGGTAAAATTGTTTTGAAGAAGTCTCTAAAAGACAAGTGGTTTATGCTAATTTGTATGTCCAAGTGATGCTTACAGAGAAGAGTTCCCCGGCTTGTAATTTGATGTATGTTAATATTAAATAGTTATGCCGTTTACATTTAATAAATATATCATTTGCCGTTTGATTTCTTTTGTTTTTATTTGTCCAGCGCTTTTGTAAAAGGTGAGGAATATGTAGTTCGTGACTTCCGTCCATATTAAACTACATGTAGGTTCCGTACACACTGTTGGTTTGATTTAGCTCTACTGTTGCATTCTGGTCAATGAAATCCTTTAACATTTTTAAATTGAATTTATTTATCATAGATGAAATATATTGGTCTAGTGGCGCAGTGGATAGCCTACTCGTCTTTTCACCAAGTCGGACGTGAAAAAGTGGTTTTTTCTCCGGGAACTGTTGTTATAAAATAAATAAAATATATATTTCAGTCGAATTAAGGATATGCTTGCACATGGTTATGTGAGGAACATTACTATAAATACATGCAGTTGACTGTGAAGAAACGGTATACCGGGTGGCGGATTCCGTAAAGTGTAGGCAGTTGTGCATATCCGGATAGGGTTTGAGTAAGATAAATTAAGGCTTTGCTCGACAATAAAACCACGGAATTAGATCTAAGTCCGTGATAAAACTTAGTGAATAAATTATTGACTTATTTAACAATGTGTGTTGGTATACACTTTAGAAAACGTGTTTAGGTACTCATTCTTATAAATCATAAATCTTTGTTGTGCGGTGTTCCAAATGGCTGAGTCGATAGGAACGATAACATTTCTGTGACATTCCTAATGTATTGCCCGGCTGTCATTTTATTATTTTAAAAAATATCGCAGCTCACCACGAACAGAAATGACATTACGAGGCTACGGTAACTCACTACTTACTCTTATAAATGAATTAGTATTATATAACTTATAGCTACTGATTAGCTTGGATTCTCATCGTAGACATCTGATTTAAATAATAAGATTTATGCATCCTTGATAACTAATTGGCTTATTTATCAATTGTTAAGAACTCCTGAACATCCATACACAATTTCCACTTATATAGAATTACTCTATTCCAGATAAACCAGGCTGCGTGTAGCGTTTGAATGGTCGAGAGATGTGCGATCATATAAGAGCGCTTATTATTCAAATTTATGATGGGTATCCATGAAGTTTTGTATGACCCTTTATATGTTCAGATCGTGTGCGAATAAGTAAAACTGAACTATTCTTATTTACATACAATAACAAAGAAAAAGGAACACAACTCTTATTTAAGCATATCATACCACTGTTACTTATTTATCCAAAAGTAAAGATCAAATATCGAATAGGACAAAATAGCAATATTCTGCTTACAGTTGAGGACGTTAAAGTGACCCATAACGCTCCGATTTCGTCAGTCGTCCCGAGCTGCATGTAGTACGACATGCGTAAATAGTTTGATTGTTAAACGTAAACTCAAATGCTACGAAAAAGATGCCAATAAAACCCGGAAGAAATAATTAGAATACATATAATTATTTACATATTCAGACCATTAACATTTCACAGGGCGTGCAATCATACTATAATCAAATCGAAGTTCAATATTTTGGCTTATTTCCATTTAGCGTTTCCTTCTCGGCAACGTTTGAAACAAATGACGACATGAATGAAACAGAATTTCATCAGCAGCAACGTATACGTATTCAATGCTGCAGCTGTGGTTACATTGATTTTGTTTGAATCAGCGGACGAAAAAGAAAGTATCGACGTGAAAAAAATGTACTTCCTTTGAGTTTGAGACCATCATCAAAATTCATGTACTCGAAGGCATATTTATTTCTGAAAAACTTTGAAAATATTGTGAGATTGAAATAAAGAACATTATATTCCGTTTATATAGGTCTCTGGTTTATTGAAAAATAAAATTTAACAGTACCAGAAAAAGATATCAAATTGAATACAGTGGGACAGAAAATATCATCTCCTAGTGTTTTAACCTTACTGCTAGATATAATGTCACTGAGCCAACAATACCAGCTGCTGAGCGGAAAGTTTCAAAGGATTGAGAGGAACGAAAATGTGAAAATAATGGGCATTGTTCTCGTATTAATAAAAAAAAAAAAATGTGATAAATGTTATAAGTGTGTCAGCACAACTTTAACTTTACTGTGAAAAAATCATAAATTATAATACAAATTTTTGACAAGACATTTTGAATTGCCTCCTTAACAGTTTAATAGCTATTCTAGCTTTAATAATAGTTTTCTGCTATTATAATAATATGCTGCTATTATAATAATATGCTGCTATTATCTGGTCAGGTTTGCTTACGTAAATGTTATTAATTGTGAATGTAGATTAAAACCTTAGAAATATATAGCAGTTACAAATTCACCACAATGACCACTTATATTCTATCACTAATTTATCTGTATCTGAAAAGGAAATCCATGGCTTTGAATGAAGTGAATACGACTAAACATTCTGATTACAAAAAGTGATGCTCCAACAATGTGACAATATAATATTTAGTATGTGTGATAGTTTCAAAGATATCGGATTTTATTAAGCTGAAAGAATTTTATTTATTTCTGACAATTTGTTTATAAACAATCCTAGCAAGTAGATGTTGAGGTGCTCACATCTGAAAGGAATTGCAAATATACACACAGAGACAAGAGGCAATACAACATGTCAGTTGTGTTAGTTAGGCAATTTCTTCTTCTTCTTCTTCTTCTTCTTTTCTTTCTTCTTTTCTTCTTCCAATTGAACGATCAGACTCAAAGATTTGAGTGTATTTGATCCTGGGAATTTTGTGAGATATAAATCGTAAAGTTAATCAATTGTCTTATAGAAACTTAGATATTTCATAATATACGCAACTACAACTAAATTGGTAGAAGATTTATAATTATTGATAGATGATATGTAAAGTGAGTTAGTTTTTATACCATTATTTCACATGATTGTTAATTTAACCAGAACTTCATGAAAAATTTAACATCAATACCATTTTAAGATATACCAGAACCTAGGGAGTAACGTGCATAGTTTTATAAGGAATATACATCTAGTCTTTCACTTCAGAAAAAAAACAGGTTTTTTTTTTCAAATATGCCTATCAATCTTAAATCAATGCTTTAATTAAGAAAACGAACACAAAAAATACAGTAAATTGAAATATGTTTTATTTCGTTATAGACGTAACCATGGCAACGGCGAAAGAATACGACTTTGTACCATGGAATACCTTTGATATCAGCATCAGTCAAAAGCGCAAAAGAAGGCACTATCGAATAGCTGATCAAACTATTAAATTAGAAACATCGCATGTGATTTCCCCGATGATAATGCAGTTCATATTTTCAAATGACATTGATGAGTTTACTGAGTACATGCAATCAAAGTGTATCAAATGGAGTCTGGTCAAAAAAGCTATTGGTATCAAAATATGCAACCTCGTCTGCAGATATTTGTTTAAATACGATCAGAAACCAGTCATGGATGAAGCAATAAGAAAAATCAATGCAAGATACAATGTTGGTATATTTTGGAAGGAGGAAACAAACTACCTCTGGATAGTCGGAAGGCGAACTGATGTAGAAACATGCTGCTTTTCGATGTACGCCTTACTAGAAAAGCAGGGACCGTTGCTGGCGAAGTTAACAGTGGACAGTATGAAGACATATATAAGTGCCTTTCATTACAATAGATTAACCATCGTATGGCATAGTCACTTTATAACCCTACCAAATTCAGTTTGCATTCATATAGGCTATGAATACCATGGACCGATTGTTGACGTCATAATTGTTACGTTGGATACTACGAACTCTCCCCTGGCGATAGCTGTTCTATTCATTGAACAAGTATACACGATACATACATTATTTAAATCAAATGCGGAATAAAAATAAGTGTAATTGATTTTTTTATGATAAGAACATTCATAGACAAAATGAACTGGACAACTGCAATTCCAACATGAAGTTTCCTTTGTCTATTTGGCATTCATATTGCCTATGAATGCCAACTGAAAGCAGTTCATTTCTTATATATTAATACAAATTAATTAGAAAGGAATACGTTTTATTGTACGCCGGCGTTCATACTGTAGCATACGCATTCTGAGAGTTTTGCAATCTACGTAACAGACCAACAGCTACATTCAGAGATACGTTATTGAGAAATAAAGCATATATTTAGTGAAGGTGATAATGTTACTGTGATATCGTTGCAGGACGAGGTACATTTTGTATGTGTGGCGGAAGATGTAAAGACGGCACAGGTAGCAAAGAATTCCGTCTCCAAAAGGGTCAGACTCTCGTGACTGAGGGTAACCATGTGGCAGATGAAAAGAAGGGTCAGAGTGACACTGACATGACTAGACGTGACCGTGAGACGGCTTTGGAGGTCACAGAGAACTGCTGTATCTGTATGGACAGTATGACTGAGCCTAAGAAGCTGTCGTGTGGTCACATGTTCTGTAGAGAGTGTATAGACCAGCAGTTTAAGTACAAACCAGCCTGTCCCCAGTGTGGAGCTGTTCATGGGAAGATCACAGGGGACCAGCCACCGGGGACGATGACCACCAAGATATATGAGGGACATGGCTCCTTGCCTGGTTATGAAGGATGTGGTATCATCAACATCAGCTACAACTTCCCTTCTGGGAAAGAGGGAGTAAGTATGTCTTGGGAAACCATTATTAATAAGTAATGTAATTTATAAATTTCAATTGTAGGCTTTCCATGTCGGATCTATTTTGTTTTTGTACTGCTGATTTGAAATTCGTTTTTCTACACATATTTAAACATTTTGAGACAAGATAATACGTACAGTGCAACATATAAACTCCACAATAGTTTTACCAATGGAATATCTTAATAATATTTTCTCATTATGATGATAACGTGAAAGAAATATCTAACTGATACGGAAATCCCTACATAATTTTGAGGGACGATTTGCCGAGTAATATACGCACAAACACACAGAAAAATCTAATAAGAAACTATTTCAGGCGCGTAACAACCTATGTAGCAAAAAAAGCCCGGGCTTTCACATCATTTTTGACAAAATTAAAAAAAATATAAACGCAACATAGACTATATGATATAAAATATTACAAAGCAATGACAGATGTTTTGTATCTGCTATAAAGACCGCCAACTAAAATGCTTCGTTGCAATCAAAGTCTCTAACAAATGTAGAACTGAGGGTAGCATATTCATTCGTCATGTTAATCGCGCCAGTGAAACTCTAGTCTTGCTAATTATCGGTGTACCCAAACACTAACTCTAGTTTTCTCCGTGAAATAAAGTGTTTCTAAGGTTTTTTTTTACCTCTTTTATACATATAAAGGGAACAATATGGTTGGTAGCCTGGCTTCAATCATTTGACATTGTAACCGTTTCAGTGCAACTCTAGCTATGCAAATTATTGGTATACACATAGTACTCGCTAGCCCCCAGCCCCCCGTGAAATAAACTGTCCCTATTATTTTTATCCCCTTTATTAATACAAAATACATATGGAATGGTCATAAACCATGGCTTTCTATTTTACACATTGACCAGTATATCGGTTCTTATATACATAATGTTAAACTATTCCTAGTGCTAGCTTGTGATACTAGTCTCATGTCCCTGCGCAACCGGAGTCACAGTCGCGAGGAGAAACGTCACACTCTTACAACAACTATCCCAAAATCCACATGATTTTAGATTACCCTCCCCCTCCTCGTGCTACGCGCTTAGGGGTGCTGCCTTTGGCAGCACACTTCATCATTGGGCTTACACATTGAAACCCTGTTTGTTACGCCCTTGGATTTGATGTAAACAATTCCTCTGTTAATTGAAGAATTTCGCTGGTAAAAGAAGCATAAATCATCAGCAATGATAAAATTTGAGAAATGTCTTTTGGACCTTTTTTAAATTTATCGGAGTGTTCCTTATGTGTATAGCATATTTCAGTGGTTAGACTAAAATAATGCAAGATTTTTTTAGAGTGTTTGTTTAATTTGTTATTTAGTGCAACTAATTGTTCTTGAGAAAACCCGGTCAAATGATAAATAGTTGAAATTGTCTCTACTTGAAATCTAATTCATACAATATAAAACAAGGTTGTAAAAGGGCCCTACGAATCCTGGTTTGTTTAATATTCCATATTCCATAAGAACATATATTCCCTGTGTAGTTCGTTCAACTTCTTTTCCTATGTTTGTAGCCAAATCATCCCACACCATATCAAAACTAGCAAGGCATCGACACAACCGCCTATCTTCCTAGAAACAAGAAAGGTGGTCTTGTTGCCAAATTGTTAAAGATAGCATTTGACAGGAAGTTAGTGTTTACTATTGGAAGGTCAAGGACAAGTGGGAATGATTGGTTCGTTACCTGGAATGACATTCACCACAAAACCAGATCGGACGGTGGCCCACAGGCGTAAGTTCTTTTTTGATATCAAAATATCTTTTCGAATGATAAACATTAAGGTTACTGAAGAACATCAGTCTCATTTCCTCGAGCAAGGCACATTTCCCATTCTAATATTAAAGTCATTTTATTTAAACTCACCACATCCACAGTAGCAATGTGTCCACTTTCAGTGTTGCCTGTAATTCATTTGCCAACCAACCGATTTCTTCAATTTTGTCCGTAGATTCACAAAACCTTGTGTCACCATATTTGTATAAATAACCTTGACCTGCATTTAAGGTAACATATTTTGTCCGACAAACTAATAAGGATAGCCGTTGACCTTTCTGTACTCAGTACATGAGAGTGTCTTTGTTAGTTCGTTCTTCTTGATCAGCAATCTTCTATTATGAATCGTTTCACAACTTAGTCCATGGAAGGCTGGAAACCGGAAGTACAAATTTCCCAACCAAAATTGTTTGTTGTACATGAGAGCTGTCTTGTTGGCCTTTTCCATGCTTCAGGGTTCCTCTCTAGGATCAGAAAACCTGTCTGGGGACAGTTAATTCCTCATTGCTCGCATATATAGGAGTAAAAATGGCATGAAACGCATGTTTGCGCGTTTTCTCATTCATCCTAATTCCAATTTAGTTTACTACAGAAATCTTCTTCTAGCATAATTGTCTTTCTATCCATTTATTTCAATTGTAACTACTTTCATGATACTTTTTCGAATCATTATTGACCTGGTCTTATAGCTTGTTCCTCTCTGTATTCCCTCTTCAGTAGATTTTCCTTGCAGACGCCTTCATAGACATAATGTAAAGGTTCAGAGGCCAAAGTGGTATATAGATTACATTTAAAGATTATTTCGCAGAAAAAGGTGTAAGCATGTTTATAATCATTGACAAGTTGAACATATGAAGTCTTAAATGAAATATGTGATTGAAGGCTACTTGTTATTTTTCTCATCTGCTGATCTATCATTATTTGCTGAAGGTTTGGGTACCCGGATCCTACTTATCTGGATAGAGTTCTGGACGAGTTGAAAGCCAAAGAAGTCACAGAGGAGTCCCTAAACGACCCATAAGTCAACAATCTGAGACCGATACATTAACTTGGTGAGTCCTAGATACACTGTTACTCAAGTCAAGGGAGTCTATACTCTACAAGTATGAATCATTTTGACACTCTGTAGCCTGGATGAGTCTAAGAAAAACACAAGGGATGAATTTTAGTGGTCGTCGATGATAAACTCACAATGAAGATTTTTTCTTGAGTCGGCGGCTGATATTGAAACCCAGTATCACAAAACAACTTTCTATGACTCTTGAACTTAGTTGTTATAAATGAACGAAATGACGAATCAAGTCGACAACTTTATCATAGTAATAAACTTGAATGATATGTAGATATTTTGATATGTTCATCTTTTACTTTGTTAAAGTAATAACCTTGAATGGTATGTAGATATTTTGATATGTTTATCTTATACTTTGTTTTAATAACCATACTTTTAGACAACTGCAGGACTGATTAATTGATATGCTGACACTAACTACACAAAGAAACACCAAACACTATAATATACAAATATATTGGCATCAACGTGTTTAATGAATTTGATTGTTTGTATTCATTTGCAATTAAATACCCTAATACTGATTATATTTATTATTAGTATTGTTGTTGTTGTTGTTTTCACCTTTTGTTGCTGTTGTGCCACTCAAACGAGTAGAAGAATAAAAGATAAGTTAAGAGTATCATCAAGTTAAACTACATCACTGCTATTGACAACATTTAAGCACTGAGCCGTGTTGATAATAACCCCAATGTTTGCCTGAAATGCAAACTCACGGCATCCTCTTATTGTTAATTGTTAATCACAATTGGTGTAATAGCATGTATAACACACAAGAAATATATGCGATTGTTTTATCACACTTGAAAACAGTCAATTTATATTAAAAAAAAATGATGATTTTTAATAGTTTTAATAATTTTGTATATATCAGGCTTGTTGGAGGGGTGACTTTACAGTTGACTTAATCAACAGCATTTGAAGCCTTCAACTGGACGCCAGGGGTAGAATAATACTGCGTACCGTGAAACAAATTTGTCGCAATTGAACTATTCACCATTTTTGTCTTCCATCATGTTGGCGTCTTCATTCTAACACGGAATATAAATATACATCATACTACATATCTTCAGTATTTGTGAAGGGCGAAATTAATACAGGACAAAACAAGGATTTAACTTTTGCCTGGCGAAAGTTCCCCTGTATATAGCGTGTCTTGTTAGTATGTGCCTGCTATGTTTTGTTAGTCTAAATCAATAAAAGCATTAAGTACCCTTGTCAACCTTCAGTTTCACAAGATAACTGTAAGTGCACGAAATGAGGTGAACCTTAGTGTATCCAAGTGTGCAGGTTTGATATATTATATCAGTTATTTTCAATAAACATTATATCATATTGTTTCAAACTATACTTGAAAACATTTGTTGTTGTTGTGCGTATTATACGAAGGTCATATAATAGTCTCGAGTCCGTAAGTCTATTGTTTTGTATATGGCATCGACTTAAGAAGAAACAGCATAATCTAGTGTATGCTTTTCATTGCAGTTGATCAAAGAATAATGGACATGTTCTCTATGTGTCATCGTTACGAGATCTGACATCCGCAAAAATAATCAACAATCCACGAAATGAACCATTTTAGCAAAGTCACGAAAATAAGAGACCAAAATTATTTATAGTATCTCTTTTTTCTAGTACATTGGGTCAGGTGTTGTTAAGCCATGGCGCGGCGTCCGTCGTCTGTTCATCGTCAAGATTTTACTTAAAACAACTTCTTCAAAATAACCAAAATGCCTAGGGTGATGATAGTTTGCCAGTAGCATAATGTTATTAATTGCTGCCAAATTTGTTCAAATGAATTACCTTCACTTATAGTCAAGGTCACATGTGTTAATTGTCGTGTAAAACCTTTAAACTACTTCTGAAAAACCAAAAGATCCAGTGTGATTATATTTGGCTAGAAGCATGCTGGGATGAAGGGCTACCAAATTTGTTCAAATGAATGACCCATATTCAATATCACAGGGATCAAATAGGTTGAAATATTTTAATGACTTCTTCTGAGTAACCGAACGGTCCAGTGTGATTATATTTGGCTAGAAGCATGCTGGGATGAAGGGCTACCACATTGGTTCAAATCAATGCCCTTAACCTAAATTCAAATATCACAGGGGTCAGATATGTTGACATTTTTAAATGACTTCTTCTGAGTGACCAAAGAGACCAGGGTATTGATATTTTGCAAGAAGAATGATTATTTAGAGGGCTACCAAGTTTGTTCAAAAGAAGTAACTTCGCACATATTCAATGTCACAGGGGTCAAATATGTTGAAATCTTCAAAGGACCTCTTCTAAATAACCAAAAGATCCAGGGTAATGATATTTGGCCTGAAGCATGCTGGCATGAAGGTATACGCAGTTTTTTCAAATGTAAGACCTTCACCCATATATTCAAGGTCGCAGGGTTCAAATATGTCCCAAAATAAGACTTCTTAATAAATGAGTGGCTGGGATGATATCTAGCCGGCATCATGCTGGGATGAAGGGTTTGATTTTTTTTTCAAAAGAATAACCTTGAATTATATTCAAGATCACAGGGGTTAATTATGTTAAAAAGTTTTAACGACTTCTTCTGCATAACCAAAATGCTAAGGATGGTGATATGTGACCAGTAGCATGCTCAGATGAAGAGCTATCAAGATTGTTCACGTGAATGAGTTTGACACACTTTCAAGGCCACATCTTGTCAGTGGTGTATAAATATTTAAAAGACATCTTCACAATAAACAAAGTGTATAGGGTGGTGCTATTTTAGTATTTTAGCTTTGTTTTAGTCCACTTTTAAGGTTACAATTGTGAAATGAATACCATGTGAGAGATGCAGGCTCGTTTGGCCTCTTGTAACGCTATGGCATATATATGTTTTTCCATTCTATTTTATATCAGTGGTATGAATTAATATGGGCATTTTTCTATTTAACTGATTTTTGCTTGAATGTTAGATGTGTATCGCAATGGAAAACTGAATTTGATATGTGTCATAATAAATATATTGATTTCACTTTGTGTTACTTGCTAAACGAAACACTGTTTTTTCTGCTGATATGTACATTTATGTGGAAGTGATCAAACTGACCGTAATCCTTGTTGCAAAATAAAGTGGCTTCATTCTAAGGTTGTTGTACTAAAAAAAATTCTGTGAAGACCTGATGGTCAGTCAGCTATATTTTGAAAATAAAGAACAATTTAACATCAAATGGTATTCGATGTCTACTGATTTATTTCTCTACAAATAGTGTATTTGTATGCACTTTAATTTATTTCGGGAAGCATCTGACTCTGACTAATTACAATTTTCATAAACGTGTAACAGACCACGAGTGAACAAAGTCGGGTGGAAATTTATTCTGGTAATCTCAAGTGTTAGGATCGGTCTCTGTCGTTCGGTCTAGCTTTCAGTCGTCCCCGAGCTGTCTCTAGCTGTACTGTCGCAACCCCATCTCTAGCCGTTCTGCAATTATGTCCTTGCTAGTTTATAGTAGTATACCCATACCCACATAATCAATGTACAAGAAGATTATAACGTTGCCTACATCCATTATCTATCATAAGGTTCATACACTCGTCATTCTCAATGTTATTGGTACATGCATAGCTGGTCATTTGCCACTATCTATCATAAGGTCCACAAACCAAACATAATCAATAGTATTGCTACATGCATAGCTGGTAATTTGAGACTTCAGATTATATACAGAGGTAATTCTGGGTTCATTAGAGCCTGTCAATCATACTTTTAAGTTGACCGCTCCTTAATTGATGACATGCACTTCCTCAGGGTAAATTTAACCAATTACAACAACTTGGTACTGCTGACTGTGTCACCAACGACACTCCTTAAGAGTTGAAATGTGCTCATCTCGCCACAAAGGGGCAAAAGTTTATATGTTCAGTGCTTAAATTTACAAATATATGTTTCATTATTTTAATGTTCTTAACAGTGAGGAAAATGATAATATTTTTGCGAAAGAAAACAACTTATACTTCCCATACAAATAATCATAAAAACTCGAATGGTCATAACGAACTATGATAACTGTACATGTATTAATTATTGCTTTGATGGCAAATTTATCAGTAGGCACCCTATGAAACACATAAAAGGAAAGAATAAATGTACTTCTTTTTTTGTGAATATTAACATTTCCAAATCTATTTTTAAATATATGTGAATATTGAAAAAAATACCATTTGCTCTACGTACATGCCATGCCACTCAAGATCCTAGAAGGGTGATAAATCTCGGGATTACTGAAATCCGTCGTAACGTACTTCAGAGATATCTTATAGTGTAGACAAAACTATTGAATGATGGAAATACATCTTTTTTTCACATTTATAATGCTACGCAACACAATTCTGTTCAAACATATCCCATGATGCGCTGTTGTTTTACGTAGTTCGGTGGAAAGACCCGAACAGTCTCCATTTGAAAAAATATACAGGTGTAATGGTTCTTTCTGTTTTTAGATTATTTTAAGAATTTTTGTTGGCAGGTGTATCCAAGAATTGTACAAAGTGTAATTGAATATTGACATATTGTGTCGACGTGCTCCTTTTTCAGGACAGTGTTAATGCTACATTTATTAACGACAACAAACTACACAATAAAATAATTATACATCAGGTACAGACATCAAAAAATAGAAATAATAGATACACATTTGTCAATACTTTTTTTTTACTTTTTTAATGGTACAATAAACTCCAGTCCTGAATGATCAATTATCAATGAAAAATAGATCATGCAAGTGATGTAATTTTATTATCTCCTCATATCATACTAACGCATATGTTTGTGTTCATGTAAAGGTAGATCACATCCCCGTTGTATAAATATAATTATACATTTCATAGTTTTTAACAGTAGTCAACAAGTTAATTAAATATGATTTTTGACAGTAATAACTGTTGCATTTTCAATTCTGTTTACCATGGAAGGAGTTTATAGAAATCGAAGTTGAATTATAGTAGTGATGAATATCAATGAAAGATCTAATGAATTATAATAGCAGTGATGAATATCAATAAAAGATCTAATGAATTATAATAGTAGTGATGAATATCAATAAAATATCTAATGAACTATAATAGTAGTGATGAATATCAATACAAGATATAATGAACTATAATAGTAGTGATAAACAACTATTGTACATACGCTTCCAGCGAAGCCGAATCGACATCGATTTGTGGACAACTCGTACACATTTTACACCTTTGTGTGCAAACGCTTCACTGGTCATTTGTCTGATGAATGTGACAGAGTATATACCGTACTAGTCATCGAAACTACAGAGACATGAGAATATGTTACAGCTACATTTGGACCTAAACTAAGGTGTTCAGAGTAATTTTACATATTTTAGGGATTTAGATCGACTTTCGGTAAAATTGACACCCCAATCATCATATATTCGAGAAGGGAGGAAAGCTCTCGATGTCAAAATGTCGACCCCAACTAACTGTCTTGCATCAAAAACAACATTTCTGGTTGATATACGGGAAAATGCTTAGTACCGTTGGAAAGATGGATACATTTTCTTTCAAAAATCCTATAGGTACGTAAAATGTATTCTCCTTCCGCAGACATGAACTCCGTTTCCTCAAAAGAAACCACGCCATTTCAGAGTTTCAAAGTTTTTCGCAGTCAGCCTGCCACTTTTTTGAATTTTTATGAGGTTGACGCCAGCCACGTGCCGAGACCCGTGATGTGATTGGCTGGAAGTGCAACCATTTTTTCGCTTAACCACCAATCAACACTGCATGTTTCAACATGGGCTGACCTCAACCTCATTAATATTCTAAACCCCTAAAACACGAAAAATTACTCTGAATTCCAAATACAGCTGTAACAAATTCTCAGGTCCCTGTGCTCTTCACATCTCGGTGGACAACGACGTTTTAAAATCATTACATTGTTTTCAGTACTAATGTCGCCATGTCTTCTCACAAGGAAACAAAGAAAGGGTGTCGCAGATGATTAGTGTATGATATGTTAACATAAGATATAACTTTTACTTTTCATATTATAATTATCAAGATCAAGTTTCTGTGGTCACTTTAGAGGAAAAAAATACTTGATATTTATATAATCTCTCATGAAGTTATATCAAAGTATTTCATTTGCATTCGCGTGAAAAAAAACAACAGTAACTCATCGTCCCGAGGAAAGTACTTAAGCCGAGCCACTGGAATTCAGTTGAAAAAGTTCCACCTGTTTATGACACGATCACTATAGCTAACTCAGGTTTTGACTCTTGCGTGTTGCATTATATTTTTGGTCAGGAAATCGGACCAAAGGCCAGCAGTGGTTTGGACCCACTCACACTTTGTTAACGGTAGCATTCCATGATGTCATAGGCCACGTGCTTCGTTTGTAGGAGCAGAACCCTCAGAAGAAATCATATTCTTCAAACTCCTCTTCGGGTTCTGAAAAATAAAATAAAATAATACGAACCACTGGCGATATTTACAGTGCTCATATCATAGCGTCGTCGGTTACTCACTGCTCATCCCCTTTCTTTGCCACAATTGAAAAAATAGTAGAAAATAGTGGAAAAACGGTGTTTAACGGACGATGATACCTCATTACTGTCAAGAGTATATAAAATATAGATGAAGGCGAGTTTAAAATTGCAACAATTTTATTCAGAAATGTCTTCCTCCCTTATTTTTGTGACACAGTATTTATCCAAGAATTCCTATTATATCCCATTTATTGNCCCCCACACCCTTTGACTATTTACCCATCCGATACACTGACACCAAGTAACTCCCATTAACGCTCTTCACTGGCACTCACACAAACTACAACAACTGCCCATACCATACACAGCATACATTAACGAAGACAAACACTGACAGACCATCGTTTTTTTTCTGTTCGTGATCGACCTACCAACTTTTGGTTGCATCATTGTGAGGAGAGCGATGACTTTTTTGCTCCTCTGAATCACCTCCCTCGTCGTTCGAGGCACTGTCAGCTCAAGTTTTTTGGGATACCTTAGTTCCATCTCTTCTACCACTGCTATCACCTGTTGTGAGGTGATAGGACAGTCATCAATGACGTCATTATGAACATAAACAAGTCTTAACATAATTGCATAATATATTATCGTCATACATGGTCAGCGTAAAAGTAAGCGACACACTGGTGTCCCATATCAGTATAGCATAGAGTGGTGTATTTCAGACAATTTAACGAACCCCTGTGGTTAAAGTGGAACCCTCCTGTGTTGGAGATTTTTTATCGGTAAATCGTATTTTTTTTTTTAAATTTTGAGTCATTAATTATCTCAATGAAAAATAGATCAAGTACTATTAATTTAATTAGCTCCACATTTTAAAATCATAACAACGTATGTGTATGGTCATAAATCACGACCTCGTTTCAATATGATTTTATATTTGATAGCTTTTAACAGTAGCCATCAGGTAGGTTATGGTTTTGGAAATTGGTGTAGCAACTGTTTCCTTTTCAATTTTATTTAAAATGGAAGGAGATTAAAAATGTTTGTTAACTTATAATAGTAGTCGTGAATATTTATGAGATGTCCCCTTGTCATTGCCTTTTCTTGTTTAGGCACAAGCCTGAAATTGTTCTTTATAAAGTCATAGCTCTAAGATTTTGAAGATACCTCAAAAACATTATTTCGAGGGCATCTGTTTCTTTGGACTTTACTGTGCAAATGAATAAATGAACAAATAAAACATAAAAAAAGAAGAAAAGATGAACTATAAGAGTTACATATGTCAGAGGTTCTTCCATTTTCTTATCAACCAATCAAATCGTCGTTATCGATTTCCACACCAGTCTTCGGGAACCAAACGTAGTTCTTCAGAGGAAAGATCAAATCTTCATTATTCTATAAAATTGTGCATTGCCTATGTTTGGCATGCTGAAAAATGTATTGTACCGGTTTGATATTACATAAAATATATTCTGTATACAAAATTTATGCAAATTTATTTTAGGAACTTCTTAAGCATGAAATATAGACTATCATAATTTATTTAAAAATTCCTATTCGTCTTTTATCTATCAACCTGGTGTTATTCAAGGAGGTCCACTTCGCCTATCATTTTGAATAATCATATATGCAGCTATTGTTCATTTGTATGCATCAAATGGCAAAACATAAAGAAATTAAAGAGGAGGTTGGGGCGCATGTTGACCCCCTACATTTACGTAATCAACAAAAAAGTTTATGGTTGGACTAATAGCTTAAACATTTAAACATCATTATAAGACATGTACGTTCATCCAAGAGCACGGCCAGGTTTGTTCCAATACTTTAATAGCTTCAACATACGAACATCTAACTAAGAAACTCACGTAGTCCATAAAAACACCCAGGGTTGGATTCAAAGCTTGAATCTTTTCCAGTTCCATTGTGCCCAACAATTTTTTGGCTCCGAGCGCAATATCGAGATCTAATTCGTTGATGTCGAATTCACCGATACGCCGTCTAAGCGCCATCTTTGCTGAGCGACCGATGATCTTCTGGACGTCACTCCATTGCTAAACCGATCAGTAACATTCATGGTATACGGAGTTAAAACAAAGTGCACCACTACAAAAGTCATAATCGCGAAAAAGTTCCTTTCAGAGAGAATTTTTTAAAACATGGAATTATTTCCCCCTTATCCTTAGAATTTGTCTGAACGACAAGGAGTGTGGCCTTGTGAAAATTTCCTTTTAGAAGGTATTGCTCTCTTAGTGCGTTATTTCCCCCGTAGGCTTTTGACTCATAAGTCAGCCTCCGTAGAATGTAATATGTAATAGTAATTTCATCTATCTTAGAACATATTTTGAATACCAGTGTATGCTTTTCAAATATAGTATAAGTAACATAAATTTTACCCGTAACTCTTCGTCAAAATGCCCAACGAAAAGCAGCAAAGACTTCATGACAGCAAATACTTCCGGGTCAGGGTTCACAAGATCACGAAGTTTCATAATACTTTCAGTGTCAAGGATCATGACCTCGTGAAGCTTGTTTTGCAGTTTGCGCAGGCGCTGGATGAGTTCCCGCCCGTATACGGTTTCCGGTGACATATACCGCTCAAACTCTCTGGTCTCAATCAGATCAACAATCCGTTCTAGGTCCGCAAGACGCTTTTCTTTATTGGCTTCTACGATTGCTGTGAATAGAAATTACAATAGACCAACTTTAAATTATACTTCTCCTCTGTCTGTCTTTCGTTCTGTCCATTAACCTCTCTTTATTTCTTCTATTTCTTTATTTTCTTGTTTCTCTTTATCTTATTTTCTTTCCTTTCTAATATAACATTACAATAAATAAAATAGTATTTTATTTATTTTAATAATACCACTTACAAAAATAGCTATATGGATTAGTATGAAAGTAAATGAGAAAGTGGTGTTTATTATGGATTATGAAATGTATATTCATGTATTATTGAAAAGGGAAAAATACTTTGAAAATAAACAAATAGAATAAACACAATTTAATTTATGCATTTGAAATTAGAAAAATTACCGCCAATTCGACTGTTATATCAAGGGGTCATTATTATAATGTGCTTGATTAACCTTTCTGAAAACACAAAAAGCGTTCTTGAAATATGAATGAAAAACACATGGATTTAGCAATTCAATAATTCTCTGAGCATGTTGTGATACCGAGTTATACTTCCTGATAAACGGTCACAGTACAGTTATTCAGAACTCCGGGTTGAATTGGGCAAAATTGAGCTTTACATTTTTCTCATTGGAGTGGACTAGTGTGTATTCAAGTAACTGAACTTCGTACTCTTTAATCTGACAATGCAAGATTTCAAACCGTCTCAGAATTGAAGGAACAATACTTCTAATTCTAGTTTTGTTCATTTTTTTCCTAAAATATATATTCAGTGTAACGAGGAAATCACAGAACAAATTTGAAAACCCTATTTTTGTTGCTAACTTCAAGCGTAAATACTGAAGTGAAGTATTTCTATTAAAGAATCAACTGAAACTTAGCAAGTTCACTTCCCAATATGATAATTATCTTTTGCTCATCAAACAAATGTTTTTTTAAGAAAAACCAATATCGATTGACCTTTCTTTACATTTATGACCTTGACCTTTACAGGTTGGCAATACAAGTAATTTTAGTTTCATTTTCTAATGACAAAGTCATCAATGGATAAAAAAAAATCAAAACTAAATAAGAGAAATCCTCATTCAGGAATCGAAATATTCCACATATTTGGAGTAGGCGTTTATGGAAAAGGCGACATTAAATAATTCCGATTGATTTTAATATATCATTTGTCAATCGATATTATATCACATTTTAACTGTACCAAGTGGCAGTATATATAAGAAGTGGAGCCTCGTTTTGAGTATCGGCGTGCTTACCTTTCCTCGCATTGTCGATCTCTCGGAATTTGGAGTCTTTGGATAACGACGTGCATCTGACCATGAAGTTGCAGACGTTCTTTTTGACTATAATTGGCGGCCTGACCTCACCCGCTCTAAGGGGCGGAAGTAGTAATGGGTCTTGTTCCTCCTCCATCTCAACGTACAGGCAAAGGCCATATTCGTTGGCAGGGGGCTTGTCATTGAAAATGATGAACTGGTTTTCCTCCTTCATGATCCCCTGCTGAGAAAATTCCGCGTCGTCTACGTTTACATCAAGTGTCGTAATCTTGTAAAATATTTCCGAGTCAGCAGCATCGATATCCTCATATCTGATTGCCAGATCAAGGTAACCGCCATCAGCGTTTACGGTCGCGAACGGGTGAACGACAGACTTAAGACCCGCCTCCTCCGTCAACAGATTTGGGCCCCATCTAGCAGTTTCGTCACATCTAGGAAAAGCTACGGTTTTCGCCACCTTTTTCACGTATATCTTGTAGACAACTAGCCAGTCGTATATGTACTTTTCCTCCCGACGTTCCCGTAAGAGGTCCTTTCCGAGAATTTCCAATTTGTAGGTACCTTTCTCCGGGAAACGCACCTGAACCGAAATGGAGTTTGCATTATGTACATGTGCATAGTCATGTTGAACTTTATCGATCTCTATTGGGACCCAGTCCTCTTCTTCGTTTTCTACAGAGAGAAGGCATTTCAATGCTACTTGCTTTGCCATGTTGGGTGCAATTCCAAATAGAATTTCAAGTTCATCATGGCACGTTATTTCACATTCCGGATGTGATAAAATTCGCATGTCAAGCTCAAAGAAACGCTCTTTGACAAATGCCCTTCTTTCAAAATCCTTCATTGACATTTGTCTGTCTAGAAGCTGCCATTTTGGTTCGTCCGGGAAATGTGTGTATGCCAGAGTTTCTGGGTCGGGGATGAAGAATGTCTCGTCGAGATGAAATGTAGTGGATTCATCGTCATCGCCCGTCACTGCGCATGCTCCCCAGTAGGCGTTCACGTGACGCCATACGTTGTCAATGAGGACTGCGTTCCATTCTCCGTACATGTTGATCTTGTTAGATTCTACATTCTGTCCGATCTTGTAAGTACTGCCTTTCATGAATCCATGAACAACCATACACACAAGCCCTGCATAACTAGAGAAATTGAAGGAATTATTTCGATTTCCATGTGCTCAAAACATATTTTTTCAATAATGTTAATATTGTTAAATGTTGATGTTCAGTTTCAAAACATTTTTTTCTTTCTTTACGATTTGTATATAATAAACTGTTTTCTCCCATTTCCGAAAGTGTAAGATAGAGCTGTCCAGGGTTAGAAAGGGGTGTATGAATATGACTCGTTCAGACCCAGCGGTGTAGGATAGGGACATTCCGTCCGGGAGGTTTCTATATTCTATTTTACCGGGGAAACTAATACTTAGAAAGTTCATTTTTTACTATGAATACCAATAGTAATGACACCAACACGTGATCCATGGCATTCATAGCTGATCTGAATGCCATTTATATTTTTTTTATGTTTGTATAGTGGGAATATAATAAAGTGCTTAACACAATTATATGAACACTATCACGGGTTGCCAGATGGTTATTGCCGGCCAATGGTTTGGAAAGAAATTTAGTGCCGATCTTCAAATTATTTACTCGCGTCATACGTATTGCTATCATACATTTCCGGTGCTAGTTAAGTGCATGATCAAAGACGACGTCATCGGTTTTCAAATGTTGGGTGACGTCATAATTAACATGATGTGTATATATAAACGCACATAACCTACCTGCAGAGATAGCACATCATGGCAGCGTAATTCTCCTGTTTATTCTGAAGCCTCAGAATATACCAAAGAACGGATCCCTTTTCTATCCGAGCCAGCGGCGGTTTGAATTTCTTGATGTCCCAGGACGTCAACCAGCGGTATAATACCCTCAGTTTAGCCAGCTCGTAACCCTTGCACGGTTTAATCAGCCACTCCACCAGGTCGATCAGCATACCACGTTTTCTGGCTTGCGACACCTGTTGATGTGATTTAAATGTCGAATCTACTACTTCTTATTAAAAAAACACGTGACTTTCGGCAGCTCTATTTCCGGTTCTTTCGTTTACATCATTTATTATTTTTGTTAATTATGGGTTTGACCCACCTCCCCGTCTGTTTTAGAAGTCCTTTATACCCATTTGGAGTTCTAACGTGTTGGCCCCTAGCATCACTGAGTAGTACTAGAAGGACGAAACAGCTGTAAGATGCAGTGTAGTTCAGTTTGGCATCAACTGTATCTATCACCACAGTTTACAGGTGAAACAACATGTGTTTGTTTTAACGGTCATCTTTTAATGGGTTTTTTTACAGGGATATTATTATTATCAGTATTTTTCCAGCCAGAAAAGTTAGAATATTATTTAGCAAACTTTACGTTCTAACATATATATTTTTCACTTTTGATCTGCTCTGAAGCAATTATATAATTTAAACAGGAAATCGCAATTTTTCGTTTATTTTTCTTGACTTACACTTAATGCCCTCTTGTCCAACCTTTCAAAACGTTCCGGTTGGAAAATCTCGTTTTTTCTCGTGTGAGGAACGTGAGGTGGCGGGAGTACGGTGAGGACTCTTGCGTCAAAGACATACATGTGATGAGACTCTTGGTAGGTGCACTTCTTGTTTACTTTATACGTGCCAAACATGATCTTTGGAAGCTGAGGACCATCCTGGAGAAACACAAATACATTATTTTATTATGACATCACAAGCATCATGATAAAACTATCATCAAATCAAAATGTATTACTTACAAGAACTATGTTATAACTCATTGGTTGAAAAATAGATTTGATGATTGCTATTTTTGTGTGTGTATGTGAATCGATATTGATGAAACAGCACTCCACTGGGGTTGTTGGTATGGCGCAGTGTTAACGCATTCGCCTTTACCAAGGCGACCAAGGTTCGACTCCCCGATCCGATGTGAAAAGGTATGGGGTTACCTGCCCGATCACGTAAGTTTTCTCCAGGTACTCCGGTTTCCTCCCACAAATAAGAAGCCCCCCACGCTGAAATCTGGGTCAACAACCATTATTAATACAAGTTGAAATAACTAGCTTCATAATTGTTGTAAAATAAATAATGTTTATATTTAAAAAGCACTCCGAAATCGTAAACGTAATAGTTTCAGCAATTGATTCAAAATTGTAGTCGTAGTCATTTTGACCAGGATTACATGTAGCCACATTTGTTACTTTTTGTCCAGGTAATCATGAACCAAATCATATTCATTTTCTTTTGATAGAGATGTTACATGTACGTTCAACACAGATGTAAGTGGGGACTGTTTGGAATATATGGTTGAGGTATACAGTTTTTCCATAAGTTAAGCATAATGCTTATGATATGATTATTTTGAATCACCCCTGGGGGAACCCCATCCTCGATATCCAGGGGTTACGCCCACTTTCGCTCTCTACAGCCCTTGGTTATGTCATAGCAAAAATTGAAGGCAAAGTGTTCGTCATCTTGTTGATGAGACAAGAAGACTAGTTTTATCCTTTGATGTACATCAAAAGAATCTCGCGGTCACGTAACGGTAAAATTTGACAGGCTTTGAAGTCGGACGTTTCTCCTTTGTAATCTTCAAAGGACAGGTATCAGCCTAGCGATAATCGGGTTGGTCAGTTTTTTTTTTACCTGAGACCAATCAAACAGCTTAAGTTATGTTAAGTTCTTTATTTCCAAATGCAACAGATAGCATATACAATGACATACAAGTAAATATTACAATCCATTTATGTAAGATGGCGGAGATCATAGAGTAAAATACAAGATGACATCATAGCAATGTTGTCAACATACAAAAGAAAATATATAATCATTGTCAATGGCACAAAGCTGGAACATACACGATTGACCAGATATTAAGTATAAATCTTCTATTCGAAGTAGCCTGAATTAGATACTTATTAAGGTTTCTCATTTGTTTTACATTTTTGCAGGCGAATAATTGTTTTAATTTATAGATGGACGGACGACGGAAATAATAGGGTTTAATATATTTGGTTTTAAGCTTCGAGTAAACTGGACACAACAAAATATAATGGGTTTCATCCTCGACGTCATTTCTATTGCAAAGCGGATACCGCCGTTGAGCTCTATGTATACCATTATACCTGCCTGTTTCTATACTTAGTGTATGAGACTGTAACCTATACTTACTGAGGATATTTTTTACACTTATAAGCTAATGACTTGGTGAGGTAGAACTGCATATCGTAATGATCTACGATATATTAATACAGCCTACATTTGGAGGAGTTTTCTAAAATGCTTCTCACATCTCGGATAAAAGTATCTTACACACGTTGGGTGTATACAAATACGAAATATTTTTCATTAGAAACACACCAATACTTTTTAATCGATATTTTACGCTTTATCTGTAAAGGAAATCGACCTAATTCAACCAAAAAAATATTTAGACTTTTTTACTCTAAGAACTCATTTAAGAAAATGCAAATGAACTTTTCAATGTGTGTTGCATAACAGAATCCCCAGACTTCACAAGCATAGTTAAGTAAACAAGTGATATAAGTGTCAAATAATGACAACTTAGTTTCATAGTTTAACATAAAATTCCTAAAATTCCTTTTTAATAAAACAAAGCAATCTTTTCTACCCTTGGCAGCAATGTTATCCAATGCTAAAGTAAATCTGCCATTATAATTGAATACTAGCCCCAGGTAACAAAAAGTGTTTACTATTTCAATAGGCCTACCATTGTATATCCGTTGCTCATTAGGGAAAACACGTTTGTTTTTCCTGAATTTTACTATTTTTGTTTTATCAACATTTACCTTTTAATTCCAGCGTTCAGCATAGGAAAGCAAGTGGTCAAGCATATTTTGTAGATCGACTACGTCCTCGGAAAACAAAACCGTGCAGTCCGCATACAGTATAATACAAATATACTGTAACTGATAACTCTGACAATTTGAGTTATTAAGTTCTGACTCCATGACATTAATAAATAATGAAAATAAAATCGGGGATAACGATTCCCCTTGTAATTAATCGATCTGGAGGTCGTACGTGGGAGACAATTTACCATTTAATTTGACGCAAGATTTGACATTATCATAAATAGATCTTATGACATTTAATAGTCGACCCCTAACCCCTGACTTCCATAACTTAAACCATAATTTGTCATGTGATATGCTATCGAAAGCTTTTTGATAATCAACAAAAACACAGTAGAGTCGTTTATTTTTACTCTGTAAAGTTTTGGTATTTAAAGCATTTAGTACAAAAATTGCATCCCGTGTACCACTTCTGGGTCAGAAACCAAATTGAGCGTCAGAAATTACATTTTCATTTTCTCTCCATGACAGTAAACGTTTTAAGAAGGGACGTGAAAAGCTTAGCGAAATGAGTAATAAATGATGCTAAAACCTCTATAGTTGTTGACGTTATTTTTGTCCCCTTTTATGTATGAGTACAACAACACCCTGTGTCCCTGACTTGGGGAAATATCCTACACGCAAAATAGTATTGAATAGTTTTAACAATACAGGTACAAAAAATTCACTATATTCAAAGAAATACTCGTTTAACAACATATCTATACCAGCAGGTTTCCCCTTAGATAGACACTTTATAGCTGTTACTAACTCCTGTGTACTAAACTCATCGTCCATTTCAGAATAAAGACAATCATTATTATGTATATGCTCATCAGAACAAAATGGTGTCTCAGCTGTTGTATCAGCCAAGTCTCTAAAATTAGTTGAAAAAATCAGTGATAAGTCCCCGTATGTCCAGGTTTACGCTTAGAAAACTTACGGTAAAAAGACTTCGGAACGTTACGTCTTAAAGTGTCCGTCATATTACCTTCCATTTGGAGATACGAGCGCTTCGTTTTAGCTTCATAAAATTTATACCGCTTTTTGGACGAAGTCAATTTATCTCTGTTACATACAGACTTACATTTATTAAACTCAAAAAGTGCAGATTTGCAGATGCTATATAATCGCTTACACTCTGAGTTGAACCATGGTTTATCTGGAGTTTTAATATCACGACGAGGCATGACAGGAAGAATAACAGTTTAGGACTACTTTTTTCTGCAACAAAAACGGTCAAATAATGAATGCACATTATTAACCAAAACTTCAAGGCAATGATCAATACTTTCACTAGAATTGCATAGATCTTTTATGGAAAAATCAAATTGATCCTTCGATGTACATCAAAAGAATCTGGCTGTCACGTGACGGTCAAAATTGACAGGTTTTGAAGTCGGGTGTCGGTCATCCTCGATATCCAGGGGTTATGCTCACTTTCGCTGTCTACACCCCTGGAATATGTCATAGCAAAATTAAAGGCACGAAGATAGCTGTTTGATTGGTCTCAGGTGAAGAAAACTGACCAATCCGATTATCACTAGGCTGATACATGTCCTTTGAAGACAACAAAGGAGAAACGCCCGACTTCAAAGCCTGTCAATTTTTACCGTTACCTGACCGCGTGATTCTTTTGATGTATATCAAAGAATCGAACTAGTCATCTTGTCTCATCAACAATGTGGCGCACACTGAGCCTTCAATTTTGCTATGACATATTCCAGGGGTGTAGAGAGTGAAAGTGAGCGTAACCACTGGATATCGAGGATGGGTGTCGGTCTGTAATCCCCACCCTCGATATCCAGGGGTTACGCTCACTTTCGCTCTCTACACCCCTGGAATAGGTCATAGCAAAAATGAAGGCACGCGGCTAGCTATTTGATTGATGTCAAGTAACAAAAACTGATACTTGTCCTTTGAAGATTACAAAGGAGCGATGCCCGACTTCAAAGCCTGTCATTTTTATCGTTACGCGACTGTGAGATTCTCTTTCGACGTAAGTCAAAGGACCAAACTAGTCTTCTCGTCTCATCCACAAGGTGCTGCACACTGAGCCTTCAATTTTGCTATGATATATTTCAGGGGTGTAGAGATCGAAAGTGAGCGTAACCCCTGGATATCGAGGATGTGAACTCTTCAAAGGACAGGAATCAGCCTAACGATTGATCAGGTGTTTATTTACATGAGACCAATCAAATAGATAGCCACGTTCCTTCAATTTTGCTATGGCATATTCCAGGGGTGTAGAGAGCAGTGTGAGCATAACCTCTGGATATCGAGGATTGTCAAACAGGATGTCATTAAAGCTTGTACCGATTTCTGATTTTGATTTAAACATATTTTACTGTCTCCTTTTACACTTCAGTGAGATTGGGCACAAGTTAAACACAACTTTTACGAAACGTCATCCTAGAAATTCCAAGGATTACTATGAAGATACGTTCTCCGCAGACAACGTAAGTGGGCGTAACCCCTAGAAATTAGAATGTCCATCTTAATCAAGTGTCACAGTTTTGGCACTTGTAACAACCAGGAGCTGAGATAATTTGTATCGATTCGTATTTGTGATGTATCATTAACATAACTAATCGAAGTGACCTCACATACTATGATCCTATCCCGGTCACTATTGAATTGGGAAGTCACAATAGTTAAGGTAGACGAAGACATTTGGAATTCAACATCGACAAAATGCTTATTCTTTAAAGTATTTTTGTGAAAGAAGTCGTATGTGTTATAAGATAAACATTTTTTCAAAGTCAATTTACCATCACGAGTCGTTCACAAAAATGTTTGAAATATACAAATGCATTTTGTATGTGTCATGACTATCGAGGACTATTTTGAACCGCTTTATATACAGTTTTAATATTATATTTTAAGTTAACTATTGTAAAACTAACTACGTTTTTAAGCACTGGGCCCAGGTATCACAACTAGGGAGCTTGTGGTAGGATTGATTTGTTTCGTTTATATTTACATTCTGGATGCTTGGACCCATTGACGAAAATCATGTGACCTCATCACTGCGTATTGATACACTTCAATGACGTCGATGTAGATTTGTTATGCTAATATGAGTTTACATTAAACATGAATGGGTTTATTTTAAAGATAATATCTGGTGTTAAAAGTATTCATGGAATATGTCCAGAAAGCCGATGTTGTTATGACCTCATGAGTGTTGAAAAAATAAATTTCATTAGATGTTATTGTTAACACTGCAACACTATATATTTATCAATAAAACTCCTACAAACGTTTTCTAGAGATTACGAGTGTACACTACACACAGGAAGGAGAGATACCACAGCGTCAAAACACAGAAGTCGGAACTTAAAGTCGGTAAGGGGATAAAACAAATAGAACCGAAAAGACATCAAAACAAAAGAAAATGTTTAAAGTGGAAGCGATTTTCACTGAAAGTGTGACGCCTTTCATGTAGCACGAGTTTCCTCTGGCCCTGAAACTAGACTTAAACATTTTGACAGATAGATACCAGACATATATTATGAACAAGTTTCTCATTTTGTTTGTGTATAGGCGTACATCACTCCGAGGCGTCATTTCCTACTTGAGTATCACTATACTATTCACATTCATCGAAAATTGTTACATTGTTTACATGTCCCCTTTATATTTCTGCCATTCTACGAAATTAATTTATGTATATGCATTAGAACTTAATTATTTCAGTATGATTTAATGATTACTATATCTGCTGTCAGTATCGTATATCTAGCGTAACGAAACGGACATTGTATAAGTACTTAGTACTTGTTTCCGAATCGCTGTTGATTATATATTGAAAATATAATGTATTGTATATTTCCAGAAATAAATATAGTTTAAACTAAAATGTCTAAGGCTGATGTCAGGGCCAGCGGAAACACCGGCTACTTTCATGATGTCTTCCAACCGAATTCAGAGAAACATGAATTGTGTCATTAAATCAGCTTATCTTCATTATAACTTTATTTCATCTGACCGGAAAATTCAAGATACTCGCAAATACTAGAATTGTTAAGAAAGAAAATCCTCCATTTATAGATCAAAGATTACTCGGCCAGACGTCGTTGTACTGACGATTTTTATAACGGCTGGTGTTTTCCTTAGTTAACTCGACAAATTAAGGCAGTACTAACAATACTGCGTTGTTTGCCTTAATTTGTCGAGTTAACTAAGAATGGATGAAACGTCTTCCTTCACACGGCTTCAAAATTATATCAAACAAAATACGTACCCCTCCTTTGACTGGCGCCATCTGTCCTCTTTTGACACGTATCTCTATGGTAATCACGCTCTGTCCACATCCCATGGTTGTCCTTGTCTACGTCACCGACAAGGTATCGTTGTATTACGTTACTGGTGGAATATTACCGAAATGATTATACACTTATCGCAGTAAAAATAACACATGTTAAGATCCATTTTTATCAAAAGAATTTTCACTAGTGCAACACGTTGTGATCCGAATTTCACATTGTGCTCCAGGGGTATGCTATCTATATGGAATAGTGGAATGTGCTGTGTAACGTGCTTGTTGTGTCGAGGTGTCACAATATACAGTGTAAACATACAGAACGTAGACTTTATAAATCGGTGTACGAACTAACACACCTGGTGGATACTTTATTTGCACTGAATTGTGTGAATTAAAGTGCGTCACATGACCAGCACATGTATTTGAGATATGATCTACTAGCTTACATATTCACGTATATTGATACCAACCCAGAACAGTCGTCATAATTAACTTAAATGTTATTGTTTAAAGGAACATAATGACCCGTATATTTTAATCGAATACGCTCGTGATATGAATTTTGACCTACAAATTCAGCGCGATAGCATACCATGTCATATTACCAATTATGAAACAGGCGTAATAAATCATACACAAAACAAATAATCGCATTTTGTTTAAAATAGTAATTAATATATTTCTCGGGTAATTCGTGTGAAGTTTGAACGGGTAAGGAATGATAACGTGTTTAACTCTGATAGATCTTTCCACCCGGGTTCCCTCGACATTAACATTGTGTTTTAAGCTTTTGTCAGTAGATTTAAATGAGTACGCTAGACACTAGGGTCGGTCAGTACGATAGTCTGTATCACAAAGGGTATGTGCGCATTGTGTAGGGTTAGACTATTATAAACAATCATGATCACCTTCTTCAATGTTCGAAATATAACGTTGTACTGTATCATCTAATATGATTTGATAGGATAGATGATGGACGCAGGCAATTACTTGCTCTATGTCCGTATCATTTAATGAAACAATTTTAATTTAAAAAGCACTCCCGTTGTTAGATTTGTATCTAGCTAGGTGATTAAATTTCAGTTCAAGCACATGTACTAGCCTCGTCTGTCAGTACACCTATACTATAATCATATACATTATATTATAGGTGTATTGACAGACGAGGCTAGTACATGTGATTTAAGATGTTTCCAATGATTGTCCAAACTAATTTCAAAGTCTTGAATTGTTGTAGCCTGTATGACCGCCTCGGGACATCCTCGAAATCCAGTGGTTACGCTCACTTTCACTCTCTACATCCCTGGAATCTTCCTCGATATCCAGTGGTTACGCTCACTTTCGCTCTCTACACCCCTGGAATATGTCATAGCAAATTTGAAGGCACGAAGAAAGCTATTTGATTGTCTCAGGTAAAACAAATTCTGACCAATCGCTAGGCTGATACCTGTCCTTTGAATGACCTGTCGACTTTTACCGTTACGTGACCGCGAGATTCTTTTGATGTACATCAAAGGATCGAACTAGTCTCCTTGTCTCATTAACAAAGTGGTGCACACCGAGCCTTTGATTTTGCTATGACATATTCCAGGGGTGTAGAGAGCGTAAGTGAGCGTAACCCCTGGATATCGAGGATGCCCTGGAATATGTCATAGCAAAATTGAAGGCACGAAGATAGCTGTTTAATTGGTCTCAGGTAAAAAGGCTGACCAATAGCTAGGCTGATACTTGTCCTTTGAAGATTACAAAGGATAGACGCCCGACTTAAAAGCCTGTCAATTTTTACCGTTACCTGACCGCGATATTCCTTTGATGTATATCGGAAGACTGTTCGACATATCAGCAGTTCTGTAGCCAAATGAATGTTTCCTTATATCTAATTCACAATGATTTTTGTTGATTTTTTGTGTATGCCCTCTTTTTCTACATGTTGAATCTGGATCAAAGATGCCAGCATTAACTTTGTTGTTGTGAAAATTGTTCAAAATATATTATTGTAACATGTTCGCGTTTGAATAGAATTGTGTATGTGTGTTGAATATTTATCGCACAGAGATGTTTATGTTTTAATTATATAGCGTATTTTCAAACATCAAATAGTGGGCCGTATTTATATTAATATCGATCGTCTAAAAAACTATATGAAAGTTTACATGATATAAGGGGTAGGGTATTCAATACGGTGACATTATGCATATATACAATACTGGAATAAGGATTGGTATCTGTGGCTATATGCCTATATATGTCTATATTAATAATGGAAGCTCGCATGCCTTATGCCATATTTGATAATATTATGAACAATTTACTTGCGAAAAAGAAAACAATGTTGGTTGTTTATGAAATATATTGAAAGTTATTTACCTACTGCTGAAAAAGGTAACAAGATTGTACATTTATTTTTATAGTATTATAACACACTAAATGGAGTGTGTGTGTTATGTATTCATTATATAATATGTGTACATACCACAAAAAGGTGTGTGGGCTCTACATTAATTGTAAAGGGGGTTTAATTGTAAAAGGTGATTACATATCACAAAGTGTGTGTTAGTTATATATTTATCATACAAGGGGTTTACATACAACAAAGAATGTGTTGGTTATATTTTAATCATACAAGGGGTTTATATACAACTAAGAGTGTGTGGGTTATATAATAATTATATAAAAGGTTTACGTAATACAAAGAGTGTGTGGGTTATATATTAATTATACAAGGGGTTTTTTTATACCAAAAGATGTGTGTGGATTATATATTTATTATACAAGGGGTTTATATACAACAACGAGTGTGTGGGTTATATATTTATTATTCAAGGGGTTTACATATCACATGGAATGTGTGGGTTATATATTAATTGTATAACGGGTTAATATATCACAAGGAATGTGTGGGTTATATATTAATTGTATAAGGGGTTACATACCACAGAGAATGTGTGGGTTATATATTAATTGTATAAGGGGTTCCATATCACAAAGAATGTATGGGTTATATATTAATTGTATAAGGGGTTACATACCACAAAGAATGTGTGGGTTATATATTAATTGTATAAGGGGTTCCATATCACAAAGAATGTATGGGTTATATATTAATTGTATAAGGGGTTCCATACCACAAAGAATGTGTGGGTTATATATTAATTGTATCAGGGGTTACATACCACAAAGAATGTGTGGGTCATATATTAATTGTATAATGGGTTAATATACCACAAAGAATGTGCGGGTTATATATTAATTATACAATGGGTTTACATACAACAAAGAGTGTGTGGGTTATATATTATTTATTTAATGGGTTTACATACAACAAAGATTGTGTGGTTTACATACAACAAAGAATGTGTGGGTTATATATTAATTATATAATGGGTTTACATACAACAAAGAATGTGTGGGTCATATATTAATTGTATAATGGGTTAATATACCACAAAGAATGTGCGGGTCATATATTAATTATATAATGGGTGTACATACAACAAAGTGTGTGGGTGATATATTAATTATATAATGTGGTTACATACAACAAAGAGTGTTTGGGTTATATATTAATTGTATAATTGGTTAATATACCACAAAGAATGTGTGGGTCATATATTAATTGTATAATGGGTTTACATACGACAAAGAGTGTGTGGGTAATATATATTAATTATATAATGTGTTTACATACCACAAAGAGTGTGTGGGCTATATATTAATTATATAATGGGTGTACATACAACAAAGTGTGTGGGTGATATATTAATTATATAATGGGTTTACATACAACAAAGAGTGTGTGGGTAATATATATTAATTATATAATGGGTTTACATACAACAAAGAGTGTGTGGGTTATATTTTAATCATACAAGGGGTTTATATACAACTAAGAGTGTGTGGGTTATATAATAATTATATAAAAGGTTTACATAATACAAAGAGTGTGTGGGTTATATATTAATTATACAAGGGGTTTTTTTATACCAAAAGATGTGTGTGGGTTATATATTTATTATACAAGGGGTTTATATACAACAACGAGTGTGTGGGTTATATATTTATTATTCAAGAGGTTTACATATCACATGGAATGTGTGGGTTATATATTAATTGTATAACGGGTTAATATATCACAAGGAATGTGTGGGTTATATATTAATTGTATCAGGGGTTACATACCACAAAGAATGTGTGGGTCATATATTAATTGTATAATGGGTTAATATACCACAAAGAATGTGCGGGTTATATATTAATTATATAATGGGTTTACATACAACAAAGAGTGTGTGGGTTATATATTATTTATATAATGGGTTTACATACAACAAAGATTGTGTGGTTTACATACAGCAAAGAATGTGTGGGTTATATATTAATTATATAATGGGTTTACATACAACAAAGTGTGTGGGTTATATATTAATTATGTAATGGGTTTACATACAACAAAGAGTGTGTGGGTTATATATTAATTATAAAAATGGGTTTACATACAACAAAGAGTGTGTGGGTTATATATTATTTATATAATGGGTTTACATACAACAAAGTGCGTGGGTTATATATTAATTATATAATGTATTTACATACAACAAAGAGTGTGTGGTTTACATACAACAAAGAATGTGTGAGTTATATATCAATTATATAATGGGTTTACATACCACAAAGAGTGTGTAGGTTATATATTAATTATATAAAGGGTTTACATACAACAAAGTGTGTGGGTTATATATTAATTATATAATGTATTTACATACAACAAAGAGTGTGTGGGTTATATATTAATTATTCAAGGCAATATACGATTTGTTTGACCTTTTGGAAACTAGCCTGAAGACTTTATTCGACTATTATTACGAATAGTCACGATCCTTGTAAATTACTTCATGAAAGTCAAATATACCGAAAAGGGATAAGTTTCCATTGATATCATCCTCGATATCCAGGGGTTACGCTCACTTAAAGATGCATGCTTACACAACACACATGGAGGAACGTCCTTAAATGACATTAGCTGTGAATAGGACGTTAACAAAATAAAACCAAACCAAATCATTCTAGAACAAATTAATTGCTTGAAATCGAAAATGAAAACAAATGACGTTCTGTATGTTTTTTAACCCAATGTCCAAATCACATCCAAAGAATAAATTAGCAGTCGGGTCGTCAAACAATAAATGCATCCAAATTTTCAAAAGACGAAAATCATCATGCTCCTGCGTTACAATCTGTCCGGTGAACGCCATTGTTGATAAGGAAACGGACCTGCCTTGTTTGTATTGGATTCAGAAACTTTCCAGGAGTCCTTATAATCAACGTTTTATCCCTGTTCTACTACTTGCTCAACCAAGCCAA